GCTCCTTCCTGCGCGGGACCGGGCCGGAGGGGTCTCCGGGACCTTCGAGGCGTCTGGGTGTAGCCAGCGGCAGCTCCGCAGGGTCCATGGCCCAAGCCTTCAGGCTGTTGTACTGTCCCTGCTGGGGTTTGACAGTTGAGAGGCAGAGGGTATTCGGTAGTCCTTAGACAGAACAGATTGGGAAACTGAGTCCTAGCAAGTCACCTGACTTGTCTGAATTCAACTGGTCAGGCATGGTCAGTGTCAGGCTAAGGCTCTTGTCCGTCACACTCCAGGCCTTCCCTAGTTCTCCTGAACTCTGGGGTGGTAGGAGTTTGAATTGTGCGTGTGGAGGCTGCCACCTTTCCTCAATCTCCAGGCAGATGCTGTGGACTTAGCTAACCTCTCAAACCCTGGCTTCCTCCAGGTCCCAGGCTCTCCTCGCTTGGGATAACTGCCCCCAGAGATGTCCTTCCTGGCTCCGGAGTAAGGGTGGAGGGCAAGTGGGAACCTAGGGTGTCCTCAGCCTCTCCATATCCCCCACCTCTGTCCTCACTCCGTGCATGGGACTGGGGCGTGCCGTTCAGGGTAGCTGTGTTGAAAAGGAGTTAGGACGTCTGAGCTTTCTGCTGAATGCAAAAATCCACTGCCAGCTCTGTGCTTAATGCACCCATTCTGTCTATGGCTTCACTTCACCACCACCTCAATTCCCTGTTGACTCAGTGCTTCCTCTCAGGCACCTCAGAGCAAAAGATTGTGGCCCTCAAGAAAGAATTAGTGAGATAAAGAGGCCCTCTGAGGACTCTCATTTCCCAGGGAAATTTAAATATTCACAGTGAGATTAATGGCCAGATCAACATTGCCAATTACGTGCTAGCATTTAACTCTCAGGACAACTCTGTGAGGTGTATTATCCCCCTTCACGTGGGGGGAGATGAAGCTCATCCTCACTGAGTACCTTGCCCTGGTCACACAGCCAGAAATGGCAGGCAGAGAGTTTGGATTTAAGCTTGTCTAACTCTGAAACTTGTTCTCAGTTGACTGTGAAGGGCTTATGATTTAAGTAGGTAAAACTGTCTTCCTCAAGATTCCAAGATTGTGTCATCTAACTAGTTTCAGCTAGAATGTCTTTTTCAAGTGACTTCTATGTACCAGAAACTTGATAGGTACGTTTAGAGGGAAACCAGAATCCATTATGGAGTGAGATGTGGGAAGGGCTATCATGTTGGATTCTGCCTGTTGTTAAAGTTTTCTGGAAGTTGAAATAATGTTCACACAAATGTCAGAAAAGGAGACCACATCCTGCCTCATGTGTAGTTTTCTTCTGTGGGTAGGAAGCATGTGCAGAGGATTTGATAAGCCCTTATCTAGGAAGACCTTCGGTTCAAAAGAGCCCATTTGGGGTGTCTGGCAAGATACCAAAATGGGCGAAGCAATAGCCCTCTCCACTCCCCCTCCCATGTTCAGGCAAAGGATGAAAAAGAAGGATTCCCAGCATCTTTTGAAGAAATAGAACTTTACACAGTGTCTTCATAGCATTTATTCTTTCAACAAATATATATTGAGCATCTATATGCCAAGTATTGTTCTAGGTATGAAGGTCATGGTGGTGAATAAAATTTATATAGTTCATGCTCGCAGAGAGTTTATATTCTGGTGGAGAGAGGCAGGAAATAAATAAGAATATATCATGTAGTAAGTATAATTGAGAGAGGGATTTGGGTGGTTAGGGAAGGCCTCTTAGGCTTCAGCCTGAATGGCAAGGAGTCAGCTCTTGCAAAGACCTGGAGAAAGAGCCTTCCAGAGAGAAGGGACAGGAAGTGCAAAGGCCCTGAGGCAGCCGCAGGCATGGTCATTTTGAGGAACAGGAAGGAGACTACCATGGTTGGTGAGGTAGCTATCTGAAGTGAAGTGGGAAAGGGTGTGGGGGCTGATTGGGTGGGCCCCTTGGCTCTATGGGAAGGACTGGAGTTTTGAACAGCTGTCAGAGGGTTTTATATAGAGATGAGAAAATCTAATTTATGTTATGAAAAGATCACTTTGGCTGTTGGACAGAGAGTGGACAGTAGGGAATGAGAGTAAAAGTAGGGAAGCCACTTAGGAGGCTCTCACCAATAGATTAGACAGAGGAATTGGGAAAGAGGAATCAAGATGACTCCTACGTTTGTGGCCTGAATGCAATGGGGACAAGAGGGTTGGGACGTTTGGACAGTGGAATGGAAATAAGGAGCTGTGTTTTGACCATGCTACACTGAAATGCCTATTCAGCAACCATGTGGGGCTGGGAGTAGACAGTCTAATTTCGAATTGGGAGTTCACTGGGTAGCCTAGGGGGTATATATATATGACCCCAGTTATATATATATGTATATATGCACACACACATATTTGGGGTCATAAGGATTACTTCCTTTCAGTGGTACATTGCCTAAAACTGCAGGGTTTAAAAAAAAAAAAAACTCTGATTTGTAGTGTTTGCTGATTTCTGTGGTGTAAATACTCTCACCATGGCTGATTTCAGGCTGCCGGTGGTTCAATAATTGGCTTGTGAAAGTCCTGAACATTTAACAGTCAGCCCCCAAAGCCATTGCCTCATTTGCTCATGAAAACAATTGAAATTGGCAGGAATATTCCGTTTGACAGATGAGGCTTAGAGAGGTAAAGTGATTTATTCAGAGTCACTCAGGCAGTTGGTAGCAAAGCTGGGGGCGCCTCTCAACCCCCAGTTTACTCTGGCTGGCTGATTCAGAAAATACAACAGACTGCAGCAGAAAGCCCTGTGGGGCAGATATAAGTAAGAACTTCCCTTGGAAATGTTTACAGGTCATAGTTTAGGATTTTTTTTTCCTTTTGAGACTGTCTCACTTCCTTTTAAGATGATTTGGGACAAATTAGGTCTGAGAGGTTGCTGGAGAAGCCCTCAAGACATAGAGACTTCAGGATGCTTTTGGAAATCAGGGGGCTGTGGGGAGTTGTGATGTGTCTATGGAAGTGGGGGCTTAGCTCCTGTGTCTCCCGCAGGACAGCAGAGCTGGTCGCCTCTCATTCTGTACAAAGGTGTGTTATGGCATTGGCGGGGTTCCCAACCAGGTGGCCTCAAGCGCCGTAGCCTTTTACCTGCAACTCTTCCTGCTTGATGTGGCACAGGTGAGTGTGGACAGCAGCCCCGGGGCCCTCTACTGTCTGTCATCTTCCCTGGTGTCTGGTTCTTTCACCCCACCTTTACTTCCACCCACACCATCCTTGGCACGTGGCACTTCCAAGCTTGACAGAAAACCAAATGCTACTGAAGGCAGTCTCCTTATGGATATTTATTTTAGGCTGTTTGTAGTGGAAAAATGTGAAACAATGTGGATGTCCAACAATATAGAAGTAATTGGATAATAAGTTGAGCTATATCCGTATAATGGACTAATGTGTAGTCGTTCAAAAGGATGAGTTAGACCCATACTAGTTGACGTGGAGGGATTTTCATTATGCACTAACTAGTGAAGAAAGTTAGTTTTAGAGAAGGGTGTAAAATGATCCCATTTTACCAAAGACATGCCATATATTTGTGTGTGCATAGGTATATTGACATGTATATGTCTGTACATGATTAAAGGATGAGCATGGACTAAGTAATTTCCAGAAGGATATCCACCAGACTGTTAATGCTGAGTTTAGGAAGGAATGGTGGAGGATAGAGTGCAAGCAAAAATGAACATTTTAATAAGGCAGCCATGATTTTTTTTAAAATGACACTGCTATGATCCTATTTATGTAAAATTAAAAATTGCAAATGCACATAAAGAAATGCATGAAAGGATGATCAAAATGCTTCTGGTAGTTGTCTCAGGATGGTGGAATTTCAGATGAGCTTTGGTCAATATTTTTCTGTACTGTTTGGTTGTGTTTATGAGTGTATCATTTATGTCATCAGAAAAATCAATAAAACATTTACATTGCATAACACAAGGTCTGCCTCTGACTGTTGGCCTCGGTGCACCCTTCTTACACTGAGCAACTTAGGTGAGAGTCTCTCAGTCTTCTCCAAAAGTGACTGGGCTTAAGTATAACAGCAATGTGCTGGTGTTCAGCTGCTCCTTCACTGGTTCAGATGTGCCCTCAGAGCCTTCTGGGCTCAGGTCCTGGGGAAGAGACCGAATAGACACTGGGACTCCAGCCGCAGCCGGTTTCCCAGATCTTCCTCCTGCTGGGCAGGCAGTCCCAGACACCCCCTCTGACTCTGCTAGGCCTTGGCTGTCCCCTCCCCTGTCCCTTTCAGATCTCTGCTGCCCAGGTGTCACTTGTCCTGTTTGGAGGGAAGGTGTTTGGGGCAGCTGCCGACCCTCTGGCTGGGTTCTTCATCAACAGAAGCAGGAGGACAGGGTCTGGACGACTCATGCCCTGGTGAGCAGCCCCGTGGATCTTAGGATCCTGGCACCCATCCCTGGCTTGAGGTCACTGTGTTTGTCACAGCCCTGCTTTTTAGTGGAAAACCCTGTGGATGGTTAGAGACAAAACTGGACAGTAGGTGACGGGAATGGATTGAGTCAGACTGCATCATACAGGAATTCAGAGACATTCCTGGGGGCTCTTCCTCACCTGGTGGCACAGGACTGTTCAAAGCCTCCCAGAGGTTTAGGAGTGTGTTTGGGCTGGGCTGGACATCTTGGAAGATCTCACAGAGGAGATAACAATTGCTTCTGTCTCAGGGTCCTGGATACAGGGAATGGCACCACGGAGCCCCCAAGCACCCCAGCCCCCAGTCCCAGCCACCTCCTCATCCCATTAGCCACTTCTCCCCCTCCATGGCTCCCACGGTGAGAGCTCCAGCCCAGGGCTTCTCTAGGGGTAGAGGGCTTATGCCCAGAGAGGTGAGGGTGCTCCAGGCCCACCCTTTGCATCCCCTGTCCTGGTGTTCCAGGGCACTCAACCTAGGCTGTGCTTCCACAGGGTGCTGGGCTGCATGCCCTTCATTGCCTTGGCCTACTTCTTCCTGTGGTACCTGTCCCCCTTCAACAGCCTGCGAGGCCTCTGGTACATGACCTTCTACTACCTGTTCCAGGCTCTGGCCACGGTAAGCAGGTGGCCCCGCTTCCTGGGCCTGGACTCCTGGAACCCCATTACTAGCCGGTGGCCACTGTGAAGTGTGTGTGTGGTAGGGGTAGGTGTCCAGGTTCCCACTGCCCACCTGCTCACCAGTGCCTGCTGATCTACCACTAGCTCTTCTCATGGGCTCTAGGCTAGCTATCCCTCCTGCCCCTCACCCCTAACGCCTGGGAGATCAGTGGGGATGTGCCAGCCTGGTGTGGGCCTAGGCTTGGGAAGCTGTGGCCCGGGTTGGCAGTCTGGCGGTAGGAGCCATCCCATGCTCTGTCTGGGCGCCCCAGTTCTTCCAGGTGCCCTACACAGCGCTGATCATGCTCCTGACCCCCAACCCCAGGGAGCGGGACTCCGGCACTGCATACCGTGAGTGCACGCTGGTGGGGGTAGGGTGGGGTGAGATGGGTCTGCCCCCGGGCCCCATGAGCTCCATCACCTTGCTCTGTGTTCCATCCCAGGGATGACCATGGAGATGGCAGGGACACTGATGGGCGCCACCATCCATGGACTCATTGTGTCTGGTGCCCACGGGTCCCAAAGGTGTGAGGAGGCCACGTTCCCAGGGCAGGTGGCCGTTGCCCCCAGTGCGGTGAGTGCCCAGACTGCCTGGACCCACTGGGTCCCCCACTTCAGGGTCGCCTCTTCCTTCCAGGGCCACTTCTCCCCCAGGTCTCTTCATGGTTACTGGGGGCTCAGCTCTGCACACCACACCCTCCAATTTGTTCCCTGCTCTTCTGAGCCCATGAAACCCATCCTCCCCGCTAAACCTGCTTCTCCCCCTGGGTGCCACCTAAACATAGAGTAAAAGGATGGATCAGCAGGCCATCTGGAGGGGAGGAGGTAGACCACAGAGAAGGGAAAGAGGTGGGGAAGGGCCACAGGCAGGGGCAGGGGAGAGGGACAGCAGAAGGGCTTGGCGTCCTGGCAGAGCTCCGGGTAAAGCCCCACCCCCAGTGTGAAAGGAGAATAGAAACCTGGGGCAGTAGCCCTTCCTCTCCTCTCAAAGCAGGTCCCTCTTCAGCAATTAGGGGAAGTTCATCTATTTATCGGTCAAGTTCATCTTCTATTCCTCCCCTTTCTCCTTAAGCAAAACACATCACTGTCTTCCACCAACATCTGAGACTCAATGGTATGAGAATAATAACACCAACACCCATGGCTCACCACTCTTAAGAACGCATTACATGAAGTCCTTGCGTACTCATCCCCAGACCCATCTGCAGCTCAGCTACAGAATTTGCCTGTGTAGAGTGCAAAAATGAAACTTTAGGCCCCCAGAGAGTGTGGGGAAGTCAGTCCTCTGTCCCACAGCTCACCGCCCCAATCACGGGATTGCCTGGATCAGGGTTGGTGAGAGGCTCCACCCAGTTGTCCTCAGAACCCATCATGGTGCTGCCAATCGAAGACCAGAGGCCTGCACCCTTGCCCCTCCCAGATTTACCCTCCCCACTTCCATGACTGGGCCCCTCTGAGGTCTCTACAAGCCCCCTCTCCAAAGCTACTAGGTGGGTTGCTGTCTGGGTGAGAGTGGAACAGAGGGTGGCAGTGGCCTCTTGGGTTGGAGAGCAAGAGGCTGGGTGGGTCCTGGGGTGCCAAGAAGTAGGGAGCAGGAGGCTGAGAACCACCTTCAGGACACGGAGCCTCGTGTGAGCCAAGGTGCAAAGCATTCAGGTGCCTGTTGGTAGTTCCAGCTCTATTGTCCCATCAAATTCATTTACATAACACAAATTTGTAGATAAAATCATCAAGAATTTCAGGACAGCTGAGCATCAACTTCCAAGTGCCGCGCCTTCTGAACGTGGGGCCCCATACAACTGTGCTGCAGCTGCACGGGTGAAGCCCTGCCCGCCTCCCCCACCAGAAACAGCCCTTATCCTGAACTGAATGACTGACTCCCATGCGTGTCTTATGTGTACTTTATTACCTCTGATAGGAGGCACCATGTCTGGTTTTGACGTTTATCTGGGTCATCGTGCCTCACACTGTGCTGTAACTGTCTATTCTTGGGTCTGCGTCGTCCCCAAGCCCGACACACACACACCCTCCAAGCCGCTTACTGTGGATGCACAGAGGTCACTTACTCACCACAGTGACCTCAGGGTCTAGCACACAGAAATCAGCAGCAACGAATGTTTGCTTAAAAAAATGAGAGGGGGTGGGGCATGGGTTAGACCCATGGTGTCATGGGTGCACGCAGGAGGCACGGCGTCAGCAGAAGGACCATTCTGGCCCCTTAGATCTCCCTCCCCTGCTGGGCTGATTGGGAGGCGGGGCACCGAGCATCCTTAACCTTGGGCAGTGGGTCCCTCGGCTCCCACTGGGAGGTATTCCTGCCCGTCCCCTACGTGTTCCCACCTCCATTGGTTGGTGATGTCATCCTCACTGAAGTTCTGTCCTGTCCTCCAGGCTCGTCTCTACTCCATTGCAGCCGCTGTGGTTGCTGTGACTTACCCTGTGTGCAGTGGTTTGCTCTGCCTCGGCGTGAAGGAGCGACCAGGTACGGCATGGGGGTGAAGGCATTGTAGGAAACAGCAGCTAGGACAGGGCCCCTCTTGGGTGTGGGTTTTGGTTTTGAACTCCACGAAGCCATGGTGTCCCCTTCCTGTGTTGCAGACCCCTCTGCCACAGCCGCTGGCCAGGGCCTGAGCTTCCTGTCTGGGCTGTGCCTCACAGTCCGGCACCCGCCCTACCTGAAGCTGGTCATCTCCTTCCTGTTCATCTCAGCAGCCGTTCAGGTACCTCCAGCCAGACAGATCCGCATTGGCTTGGCTGTGGCCATACTGACCCTGCATACGTCCAGGTTCAGTTTTTCGTCTCCACCGCAACACAGAGGAACCAGTGGCTTGCATGGGCCCGGCAAGGCTGGTGCTAGGAGGAGAGAATGGAGCCTGTGGGACTGGGGAGGGTCAGGGCCAGGCACCGGGAAGCTGACAGTGTCTGGGGTGGTAAAGTCCACAGCTTTCAGCTGTGCCAGGGAGGGGGACTAGGAATGGCGTTTATACCTGTGTCAGGTATAAGCATCCCTTGTTGGGGAGAATACGCCATCCTGCCATGATGCAGGCAGGACCAGAGCTCAAGTTCCCAAAGGGGAGGCCAGACTTGAGACCTAGACCTTGCCCTTGACTTCCAAGTTTCTACCATTTCCTGTACACGCCCACTTCCTATCGACCTCCTCAGGTGGAGCAGAGCTACCTTGTCCTGTTCTGTACACACGCCTCCCGGCTACATGACCATGTCCAGAACGTGGTGCTAACCATCCTGGTGAGGGGGCCTGGGGTGGTGGGGGCAAGGCCATTCAGGGTCCTGAGTTGGGGACGTGTGGGCCTTAACATGACATGTGTGGCCCAAGTTCTGATGGTCAACACTGGGACTCTGCTGTGGTCTTAGTCACCTGCGTTTCAGCAGAGGGTGGGATTGGGGCCAGGGTCATAAAGTTCATAACCACAGGTTCCAACCAGAGTGGGAGGTTGAAGTTGGGCATCCCACCTAAAACCCAGGGCTCTGAGAACCTGGCAAAGGCGCTGTGATGATTCTGCTGGGCTGTGATGATTCTGCTGCTTACAGGTCTCAGCAGTCCTGAGCACCCCACTCTGGGAGTGGCTTCTACAGCGATTTGGGAAGAGGATGTCGGCCTTCGGTATCTGTGTGAGTGAGGCGGGAAGCAAGGGTGATGTTGCGGGGGATGTGACCTTGAAGCCTGAGCCTCCTCCTGGGGGTCAGCAGGGCTGCATCTGTATTCGCTGTGTCCTCAGTGCCCAGCACAGAACCAGGCACAGGGGCTCATCAGTGAAGACTGGTGAGTGTGTGAATCAAACAGCAAGGGGGAGGTGCAGCTGGAGGGAGCAGCTAGTGTGTCTGTCTCCCTAGGGGATAGTGCCGTTTGCAATCCTGTTGGCTGCTGTGCCCACAGCACCCGTGGCGTATGTCGTGGCCTTTGTGTCTGGCGTGAGCATTGCTGTGTCCTTGCTGCTGCCCTGGTAGGCTGGGTGAGGGGAAAGGGGTATGGGAGCCCTGTGCACGTGAACCTGCTGTCCCAGGCCCCTTGTGTCCAGCCTGTGCTGGGGAGGGGCTCTCCCACTTACGGGAGATGGAGGCCACGAGCTCGGTCCTTGGAGCCCTCCTAAAAGAGCACAAGACAGCAGGAAGGGTGGACAGCCGTGTGTTGGGGAAATACAAGCACACTTATTCCCTGGCTCTGTGGGCCAGTCCTGGTCCTGGGCAGCAGGGACCCAGGGGTGACTCAGTCTCTGTCCCCAGGGAGTTCACAGGCTGGTGGCTGTCAAAGGGATAAAAGGGATAACTCTGCAGCCCCCTCTCCCCAGGTCCATGCTTCCAGATGTGGTGGATGACTTCCAGCTGCAGCACCAGCACCAGCACGGCCCAGGGCTGGAGACCATCTTCTACTCATCCTATGTCTTCTTCACCAAGCTTTCAGGCGCAGGCGCCCTGGGCATCTCCACTCTCAGCCTGGAGTGAGTCCCAGAGTTGGGTTGTACCAGAGGCACGAAAGACTCGCGGCGTGGGAAGAAAGGGCAGAGTCCCCCACCCGAGCCAGCCAGGGGCCACCCATGAGTCTGGAGAGTGTGGGGGAACCCCCTGCCCCAGCTTTCTCTGCGCACATGACTGAGAATTGGCATTTCTTGGTGGCTGTACCCCTTCTGAAGCCTCTGCTTTCCCCATTCTCAGTTCTCTCTGACTCCTCCCTGGCCTGCCCATTCCCTCAACTGTTAGGCTTATTTGGCCATGAAATGAATTCGTTTCCAGATAGTGTGGTGGGCATCTGGGACCCCTTTTTCCAGCAGCCAGGCTTGGTAGGATCTGAACTCAATGCATAGGATGGTGTTTCTCCAGCTTTGCGGGCTATGAGGCAGGAGCCTGCAAGCAGGCGGAGCAGGTGGTGGTGACCCTCAAAGTCCTCATCGGTGCCGTGCCTACCTGCATGATTCTCACCGGTGTGTGCATCCTCATGGTCGGCCCCACTCCAAAGGTGCCACGTCAGGACACCCCCCGCCCGCGGAGCCTTCGGAGGTGGGCACCCCGCACACATGGGTACACACATCAGGACTACCAACACCCAGGGAGGCAGAGGGCCGTGCAGTGGTGTGGGACTGACTAACCAGGCCGCAGGTCTCCTTGCGGTATTTACACAGCTGGACAGGCCTGCCTTTGGAGACTCTTTCCTAAGCTTCAGTGATGCCATCTTCTCTTGGATTTTCTTCTACGACTCTGCTCATCCCATCTCAGTCTCCTTCCTTCCATCACCTGCTGGGTGGTGGTATGGGAGGCCTCCCTTCTTGGCCCCTATTCCTTCTGCTCTCCAGGCACCTCAGCTACTTGCTTGACCTCAGGCACCTCTTGTGCCTGGTAAGTTCTCAATCTGCCCCGCTCCAGGACCTCCTTCAAATTCCAGATCTACATGTCCAGCTGTCATTTGGACATCTCCACCTGGTGTCTCACAAGCACGGCAGTCAGTCTTAATGCCCCAAGCTAAATTCATTTTCACCCCAATTTCTCCTCCTACTGTACCCCCGTCCCAGTGAACTGCATCTCCTTGCAGCCTGGGACCCCAAACCTAGGAATCATCTTCTACCCTTCCTGCCACAGGCTGCACTGAGCAGCTCTCTGGCCTTGTCCTTCCCCTTTCAAAGCACCGATCTCACTGCGCAGGGACGATATGCTCACTGCCTGGCTCTCCTAGTAGACTACAGGGACCTTGATGGCTGGGGCTGAGTTTTATTCATTTTTGTGGCCCAAGAGCTCCACACAGAGCCTGAGGCCAAGGAGGTGTTGCAGTATTAACATGTCTGGTCCAGCAGACATTCACAAGCCATGTCCACATTTTTGCAGGTGCTCATACACTTACAAATACAAGCATATGTCCATACAGAGGACCACACAGGATAGGCAGGAAGTGGCATCACCGTGGGCCCCTCCCTGCCTTGGACTCTAGCTCATCATACTGAGATCACGCGTTACACTCAGGGAATGACACATGGATGGGGAACTGCTTGATGGGACTTAGAGAAACCAGGTTGTAGCTTCATTCACAAGGTCAAGAAGGTGAGCTATTGCGAGGAAGACAAGGACCAGCCACTGATACTTCTACAGGACCCCACTCCACCCATATCCTTCTCTTTGGCTTCTTTCCTACAGGAGGACCAGCTACAGCCTCGCTTGAATTGAGACTTCTGAGCCAGGACACAGGAGCAGCATCTTCTGGGCTCCAAGTTCCCCTTTCATCTCAGCCCTTCAGCATCCTTGCTTCACAGTTTACACATGATCCATCTTTTTCCCTGGGATATGGAGTCTTCAGTGACTCTCCTGGAAGGAGTGGCCTGGGCTCCAGGACCCCCACCTGTAATTTCTTGCCTGTTGACCACAGAGCATCTCAGATAGGCCAGTGCCCCTGACTACCCAGCTCCAGGCAACCCGTGACCTGGAAAGCATCCCAGTAGCAACTATTCCTGGAAGAAGGAAGCCCCTACTAGCCTGGTCTGCAGAATTCCCATGGAAGCACCAGGCCCACCAACCTGCTTGGATGGCAAAGCTACCTGACGGGGCAGACACACAGACTTCCTGTTCCTCCTGACGCTCTAGTGAACATCTGAGAGAGAGGCAGACACCATGTGAGTGGGTAGAGTTGGGGCAGAGGGACATGCTGGGATGTCCAGTTAGGAAAGACACACACAGATGCAGCGAAGCCAACAGAACCCGGGGCACGAATGGGGCCAGCAGTCGGAGGCGGGGGACTGGGCAGGGCATGTGAGGTGATTCTCAAACCCTTCCCTTAGAAGGGGACAGAGACTGATACTGAACCACCAAAGATCAGTCATTTTTATGAACAAAAGGCATTTTTGTGGAAATATTTTTCTGAAATTTTATCTTACAAAAGCACAGGAAGCACCATTTTCTAGAAGCCATGTCTTTGGGGAAGAAAGATCCACTGAGGTTTATTTTCTTCAGAAACAAATTAAAGGGTTTATCCTCTACTGAGACTGTGAAATGTGACTGCGGCCAGCCTTCTCCTCCCACTTCCTGGGAAAGCCCTGCCCCAAGAAGGGAAGGGGAGGGTGCCTAATGTCACTGAAACTGGATGTGTCCCCTCAGCCATATATCCCCAAGTCTGCATTTCCTCAGACCAGAGAGGCCATGTGGGAGGTGTGTTCCTTTCTGCCTTTGGAAGGGACAAAAAGCTGTGACTCTGTGGCGGCCCAGGGCAGTAGGCGATGGCCCATGTGGGTTTGGGATCTGGGGAGGAGTTGGGGACCTGTGGGGGACCTGATGCCCCAGCAACTCCCAGAGAAGCCTTACTATCTAAAAGGGGCTCAGGAGGTGCAGACTTGCTCCACACTTTTCTCCCTAGCCCCAGGCTCTGTCCCCTCCTGAGCCCATTGCCCAGGGCTAGGCCCCCTTCCATTTCTGTTTAGAACTTCGCTGCCTCTTACAGACAGACGTGAGATTAGGTGTGAGGACTAAGACTGCCGGAGCTCAGACACACAGACAGGATGTGCTCCTTAGAGCTTAAGGCATTCAGCATCCTCTACAAATGCTGTGGCACAAGAAGGAACCTGACCTCAGAGAGAGAGTGCAGGATGTGACCTGGTCTATCCCATACCGGAACTTCCTGGCCCTGTGACATTGACATGGATGTCTGATCCTTGAGGCCAGAGGCACCAAAGAAAGAGCTGGGTCAGCTTCTATTCCTTGCCCACCCCACACTGTGCACAGGCACACAGACCACACACCGCACACTCACACTTAGCCATACATTCACACATAGGAATGCACACACACAGAACAGTTTCTTAACACTGGACAATCACTAGCTAAGCGCAGATAGTACCTGGCACCACAGAAGGCAAGGTAAAGTTCCTACTCTCCTATGTTACGCTCCACTTTGGAAACCTGGACAATGCAGGTGGGGTCAGAAGCTTGTGCTACGTTTTAGATTATCTGTATTTCCTCAGAGTGCAGTCTCAAAGGAGTAGAGCTATTCAGTGCAAAGACAGCTGCAGGGGGCAGCCTCTGGGGCTCAGGGGTTAGATCTCAGACAGGAGGTGATGGTAGGCTGGCCAAAAGGTATTATTCCATTTCTTCCTCACAGCAGTCCTATGAAGCAGTACTATTCTCATTTTCAGATAAGGAAATAGGCTTAGAGAGATTAAGCAACTCGCCCAAGGTCAGTTGGTAGTAGAAATGGTCTTGTATCCAAGTTGGCCTGATTCCAAAGCTTGTGGAGATAGCCAGGGGTTAAAACATTTATTGGAGGAATGGCCCGTCCCAGACTTTGGTATCACAGGATCACTTCTCCTCTGAAACCAAACACCAGCATCTTGCCTCTGACTCTATGCTCCAGTTCCACTGTGATTCCCATTATTTCTGGCCTCCGACCTTCGTCTGGCTTACATTTGACAACTGAGCTCTGCACATGTGCACATCCCTCCTCTGACACCCACCCTCTGGGCCCGTCCTCCTGTTTCAGAGGAAAGGATCTCTCCTTGCCACCAAGGCCAGCCCTGGCCTATGGCTGGTAAAGGCAGGCATCTCCCCTCACCCCTTCCTTCTCCACTGCCTTTTCCATCTCGACGTAAATCCAGAAGATCATGCCATTCACTTACTCAAGCCCCTCCCAGCCCCTCCTGTGCATCCCACCAACTTAGGCCCTAGGATGGCCTCAAGGCTTCACAAGATCAGGTTGCTGCTAAAACGTCACTTCTTCAGAGAGGCCTTTCCTGCGTCCCTGCTCCGCCGACAATGGCCTCCTCCACCCCCCACTCTCTAAGCTCCACGGGCTTTGCTTGTATTCAGTAAGCTCACCTCCACATACAGTTATAAATTTATCAACGGCTTTCTTGTTTATTGCTTGATACCCCCGTTAAAATGTAAATGTCATGAGGGGGGCTTTAACCACTACATCCTTGGTGCCCAGAAGTTAAACGTTCAATAGGAATAAGTATTTGCTAAATGAACAAGTGAATGCTCACTTGCCTTCCTCAAACAAAAACAGCCTTTCCTTGTTCCCTTAGCATTCTCTTCTCCAGATAATCTGCTCTACTCTTCTCCCCACACCCTCCGCTCCATAGCATTCTCTTCATCCTCACCTGACCTTACCTCCTTAATCCATTAAACCTGGCCTTTGCCTCCCTGCTGAAGAGACAGTGCAGCTAATCTTACTCATGAACACAGAAGCAAGAATGTAGAACGAAGTATTAGCAACTGAGTCTGGTAATGTCTAAAAAATAAGTACATCATCAACATATCGGGTTTATTCCAAGAACGCAAAGTTTGTTTAATGTTAGAAAAATTCATCAAGTGAGATTTACCACATTAACAGATTAAGGGTGGAAAAAGTTATCTCAGCAGTTGTAGAAGGAAGCATTTGATAAAAATCTAACACTCATGATAAAAGTTCTTAGTAAACCAAGAAGAAAAGGACATTTTTAAACCCGAGAAAGGATATCTACCAAAAATCTTGGGCAAACATCATTATTTTTAACTTTTGGGGGGGTAATTAGTATTTATTTACGTATCTATCTATCTATCCATCCTATCGAAACAGAGGTACTAGAGATTGAACCCAGGACCTCATGCATGTTAGGCATGTACTCTACCACCGAGCTATACCCTCCCCACAAGCAAAACATTTTTAATGATAAAATAATCCCTTTAAAATCAGGTATAAGGAAAGCATACCCACCATCAACAAAATTGTCATTATTTGTGAATGATATGATTGCCTACATAGAAAACCCAAAAGAATTTATCTACAGATAAGTTATTAGAATTAATAAGAATATATAGCAAGGTAGTTGTGTTGCTGGTGAATCCAACCAGTGTTCCAGGTTCTTGTCCTGTCCCAGAAACAATTCAGAGACAAGACATAGAGGTTAAGAAAAGTAAAGTGAGGATTTATTCAAGGATGGACAGTACACTCTCAGAGGGAGAGCTGGCAGGCTCAGGTGAGCAGCTGCCCTGGGTTTCTTTGGCAAGTTAGTTACATAGGGTGTAAAAATGAATGAGCGGAATATTCATTGAGGAGGGAAGGGCTTGGGGTCATATTTCCTGATTATCATCCCAACTCCACCTTCCCAAAGGGAGGAGGGATTTTTGTCCTTAGTCTGGATCAGAAGTGTCATGGTGTTGGTGCATGATGGGTACTTCTGATCCGCAAGGCTAATTTATCGAAATGAGGGCATAATGAGCAAAAGATTACATTGGGACACTGGAAATTCCTGCCTTTTCTGACCTTTCTTTGTTGGTCTCCAGGCCAAAAGGTGTGGCCCCTTATCAGCCCAAAGATTCCTGCTTTTCTTTTTCTGCCCAGGGACCCCTGGTGCTTACATGATGTATGTTTTCCTGCATTTGGCTTGTGCCCCTCCTTTCTGCCCAATTCCTGCCATTTGGTCTGTGTCCCCCTTTCTCTGCTCATATCTAGCTATCTGCCTGCTCTAACAGTTGGATATAAAATAAAAACAAATTGTATTTTTATATGCCAGCAACAGTTATAAAATATAAATTTTAAAAGATATCATTCACAGTAGCAACAAAAAATATAAAGTACTTAAGAATAAATGAACAAGATGTGGAAGAATTCTGTTCCTGGCCATGATGTACACAGAGACCACATCTTGCCTCTTGGCTGAAACAATTATCAAAAAAAAAAAAAAAAAAAGGACTGAATATATGAAACAACTGTTTTCAAAGCCCTGGGCATCAGGCAACAAAGGAGTGATCTCTGAGAAACAGGAAACAAATGAGGTGAAGCTTATGACTGCCCCAGCATATCATCTTGAGAGTTTCCAGATGACAGTGAAGAGAACCATTTGGAGCCCAGAGGACACCCTGAGTTGAGAAGATGAGTTGGAGGACACCAAAGTGGCTAGAGTTTGCAGGTCAGAATAGTGGAAGAGAGAACGACATACAGTGAAACCTTGGGAGAGGTTCCCCTCAAGTACTCAACAGAATGCTGACTAGAGAAATATATGTGAAAGACAAAACTTCCATTAAAAAGAAAGATAAATGTGATTTCATTAAAATTAACTATGTTTCTTCAACAAAACACACAATCAAGAAAAAGACAAGTCACCTCACAGTGGGAAAAAAAATGTGACAATGAATATATGTATGTTCATGTATAACTGAAAAATTGTGCTCTATACTGGAATTTGACACAACATTGTAAAATGACTATAACTCAAAAACTGTTAAAAAAAAAAAAAAAGAAAAAGACAAGTCACAAACTGGGTGAAGTTAGCCACATTAATGATATCTAGAATATATAAAGAACCCTCACAACTTGGTAATACAATATTATAAATCAACTATAATTCAATAAAAATAAAATAAAATAAAAAGAATCTCTACAACAGGACAAAAAAAAAAAAAAGACAACCCAAAAGAAATTTGGGCATAAGACATAAACAGACATTTTGCAAAAGAGAAAACTGGAATGGACAATAAATTGATGCTCAATTTCATTGTTGATAAAGATTAGGATCACAATGAGAAACCATTTGGAATACTAGAGGGTCATAAATTAAGAAGCCTTAAGCCTATAGAACAATAGTTCTGATAACATTGCTGTTGGGAGTGAAGATTGATATAACCACTGTGAATGAAAAATAGTGCCAGCCATATTAGTAAAGAAAGGATGTTGTGGCCATCAAGTCATCAGCTGTTACCACCACCCCCGACAGTGAATGGAAGGAACTCAGGATGCAGACAAGCAGGCAGCCCCCGGCTCTGCTTGCCACCCACAACAGTGCACCCTGAGGGAAGTCAGGATGGAAAGAACAGGATTCTGGCCCTAGTTAGCTAGGTGCATATCAAAAGAATGATTTCAATGAGCCCAGAACTTTGCACCTTCCCATACAAAGAAAAGCATTAAATTCCTTAACTTGAGATATCCGGTTTTCTTTAATTGACAGTCATCTTTTGAGGTTCTGACTACCTAGTCTTTGTGGCAAAACCCCTACATGTCCTGGAGCCTCCCCGGCCACTTTGGAACAGTTTCTTAAAGCAATCTGAAAGGCTGCCTCCCGGGTTCGACTCCTCAAAGCCTGCCGAATAAAACATAACTCTCAACTTATAGGTTGTGCATTTTACTTCAGTCCACGCTACCTTGGAAAATAATTTGAATTTACATACACCCTGTGCTCCAGCAATTTCATGTCTAGGTAAGAGCCCTTAGACTTTTCGAACACCTGCATCAGGTGACGTTTAACAAGCAATACTGTTTATAATTGCAAAAATAAAACCAGGGAATAATCCAAATGTGCACAGCAAGAAACTGGATAAACTGTGGTAACTCGAAACAATGAAAGCAGTAGAACATACACATAACAAGTATAAATCCTAGAAACAGTACTGAGTGAAAAAAAGGCAAGCTGCAGAAAAGTATATACAATAAAACACCATTGTATAAAGCTCCAAAACAAGGGGAAATAACCATTACATTGTTTAGGCCAATGTATACATGTGATTTTGGTGAAAATCCTTTTAAAAAGAAAGAAAAGGAATGAAGAAATGATAATTACAACAATCAAGAGATTAGTTACCTCTGGGGTGGAGTTATCTCTATGGAGAAGTATCCAGAAGGGCTACCCAGGGGACTTGAATGGTTTCTATTAATGTTCTGGTTCTTAAGTTGGGTGGTACGTGGTTCACTTTTTATTCAGCCCTCCTATACAACTATTGCACTTCTGAAATAATACCAATACAAAATTTAGAAAAATTTGGGCACAAAATGGAATTTGTAAATAATGTCTTTTTTCCCCCAAATATTCTCAATATAACATTAAAGAATAATTTAAAGAATTTAGCTCTTCTCTCCCTGTCTCCAAAACCAATACTGAATTATCTTCTATTATTCCAAAGACTATAAACAGTAGAGGCCAAGGAAACTTCTTTTGTTTGAGAGTTGTCATGGAATCAGATCTGCTATAAAGAATAATTTATATTCTGGACTGTCCAGCAGAAGAAATACAACATACACATACGTAAAATCAAGAACGTTCGTCTATACCACAACAATCACAAAAATACTATCAAAATGTTCACAGCAGCCACAACAACCATTAGTGATTTTATTGAAGACTCATGAAATGATGATTAAAATGTACACTTGGAGGCACCCACACTGATCTTACTACAGGGACGACCAAGCCCCCTCTTGAGGCTTCACAGTTATATGTTACGCCGGACACTTCCGTTGAGAATGGAGCCAGGCCTCAGACCACTCAGCCACTGCTCTCAGGCGACTGATTACAGACAAGTGGCCTCCACTTCCATTATCCCAGCATCTCTCTAATGCGTTTCAACCACAAATGGGCCCTCGCTTCTTCCCTATCCCAGCTCCATCTTCATAAACTGTAACAGACAGACAGGAGTCCTCAAGGGTACAGAATACTTCTTTCCAGAAAATTTTAAAAGAAAATGGGGAAAAGATGCATATGTACTCCTATGCATATGAGCTGCTATGGCAGAAAAATTCATCTGCAGATGTGCTCTGACTAGCCACATGCCAATCCACTTGTTATGCTGCAGAGACTGAAGTTTATGATTCTGTTTGAAGGCAGTGAGGAGTTGTGAGTCCATCCAAACCTGGAATCAGGGCTCTTTCCATTATACTAAGCTGGCACTTTAGCCCATAATTATAATAAAATATCTCAGATTTAGTGAAACCTCTAATTTTCTGAAATACTTTCTCTCACAGACTCTATGCTGGTCTCTAAGATTTGAATGGCAGGGAAGGGAGGAGAAAAATAACAAAATTTAAAGCGATAGTTTAACTAAGGGAGTTGATTACTGGGAGAGAAACAGGATATTTTTATGATCCATAAAGTGGGAGAGGGGGGAACATACCAGGGAGAAAATCATTAGGGGCAACAGCACAAAATCATGCCATAGGCCCCACATCAGTAACATCAGGACACACACAAGTGGGACCCAGAGGGAGTCAAAGCATTTAAATTTCATTTGAAACTTGCTCAGGGCCAGTTTTTACGAGTATCTGGATGGCTGTCGGCAAGAATTTTCTAGGGAAGCGAAAGGGTTAGGTTTAAATCCTGAGGTCCAGTCAACATTAGAGCTACTTCCTGTTCCAGGAAGCACTAGGAGAAGTCAACCGATTTTTTGTCTTGCTTTGAACTCTGCCGATTCCCGCTGGTTTAGGGTAAAAAGATGCTGGAGCAGATGTTCTCCAGCACTCTTCACACTCAAGCCAAGAAAAAGATCTGTAACAATGCTGAGGTATCTTTTAAGTGCTTCTAAGAGCTTTAATACCATTTTGGGCAAGGGACAGAAAGCCTCAGAGAAACCATAAAACACAATCCATATGGCACCATAATATTGTTTTGTGCTGGGAATTCTGCCCTGAGACAAAACCACACAGTCATGAATACATAACTAACCACTTTCTGTGCCATCTAACAAAGACTGGGCTCTGCTGCAGAGCAGGGAGCGTCAGCCCCAAGGGAGAAAAGTGGCCAAGCCAACCATGGCAAGTGCTTCACCTCTGAACAACAGTGCAAATCCCAGCTGGGGAGAGTCTGCCTCAGAAAACAGATCTTGTTTGTAATGGCCTCATCTGAAGGGCTACTCAGCAAATACTCTGCAAACCAGTATCAGGCCACACTGCCTAAATGGTTAGGACAGCGCTAGTATGTATACTATGGGCTAGAGGTCTCTACAAACTTCAAGGACCAAGATCAAGAGTCTCAGACAGAGTCTCTGAAGACATCTGACCTGCCATCTCTTATGATTATTTCCTGTGTGGCTGTGAAAGTTAACGGGATGAAACCTTCGCTATCAGCACAGAGAAGGATCCAGTGGGAGCCTGCAAAGGAAAATAGACACAAACGCAGTTTAGGATGTTTTATCTTATTCTATAAAGAAAAATACGACAAATATAGTTTTTTTGAGAATGTAGTAGTTGACAATCTTGAACCTGATCATCACAAAACTTTAGAGAATGGGGAGATGAAAGGACAGTGTATAACTTAGGGTCAGGTTACATGGCAGGAAGGGGATGTTGATGAGTTAGGCATAGCTAAGGGACATATATTTTTACCCTGTCTAGGCATTAATCACTCAGTGCTATGCATTTGAACTTGTGTGTGCATACATGTTAGAGGTTGTGTGTGGCGTGCCCCTATCTTACCTACATGCTGTCCCACAGTTTCTCCAGAAACTATGTGAAGTTGGGAATAGCTACTCTATGGAGGAATCGTCTATATTCTTGAGATCCATACCAGCCTCTAGACACCCAAGGAGGCTGAGCTCACTACAGCTAGACTAGAATGGTCCAGATAATCCTGAATGATTTGTTCCAGGTTAACATAGGGCCATTAGCATAACACATGCCTAGACCTTCTCTGGTTCTTTCGAGTCAACTGTGTCTCACCTTTTGACTCTGTATATTTTACTTCTGAAAATCTACACTTTCTAAAAACATGTAAAATATGCAGAGTTTTTATTAGAGTGTTATTTATGATAGTAAAAAATTGGAAACCACCTAAATGTCAAAGAAAATATGGCAAAGTAAAATACAGTATGAAGGGACTAAATCCTTCTCATAGCAAGGAAAAAAAATTTTTCCTATTTCCTCAATTTTGCATCTATATGAGATGATGTTTACCAAATTTACTGTGGTAATCATTTCATGATGTATGTAAGTCAAATAATTATGCTGTACACCTTAAACTTATAAAGTGTTGCATGTCAATTATACCTCAATAAAACTGAAGAAAAAATACATGGTTCACCCCAGATGGAGTATTAATCCCACCCAGTAAAAATGACAATTATGAAGTCATATCATACATGCATGTCTCAAAAAAGAAAAGTGCTGATACTACAACTTTAAGGGGGAAAAAAAAATGAAACAAAGTATTATATTCAGTGCAGCAACTACCAAATGAGGCATAAGAAAACCACCACCATCTCCATCAGATGGAAATCAGGCAGCACTCAGTCCTTTGCCATCAAGAAGTGTCCTTCACATCCATATGTTTGCTGCATATTATAATGACAACTCCTTGAAGAAATATTCTGCAATGCTATGATCTCTATGTTTTAGTGCCATAGGTATATAAATATATTGCTCTATTCTAGTTTTTTCATGTGTCCACTTAGGTTTTCCAGCTAGATTGTAAGTTCCTTAGGGCAGAACCCGTATTTTCCATGTGTTTTGGAACCTATAACAGGCCTGGGTATACAGCAGGCAATTTAATAATACTTTTTAACGATCTAAGGAATCGCTAATGGTTGGTACACTTCATTTTCATTACCAGTGAAAAGTTACAAAACAGAGGAAGGGGGTGTTGGGTAGAGTCAATTTCTCAATTTTACCCACCATGCAGCATTTCAATAAGTGATAGGCCAAAAGTCTCCTGAAGTGTACTGAGTCTTAATTTACCATTGCAGAGAAGGATATCTCTTTTTCCAACAACAGGACCTACAAAACAAGACTTCTTCAAAAATAAAAATAAAAGTCATTAAACTGATTGCAGAATCAATGTCATTAACATTCCTAAGAATTCCTATTCTATTCCTAAGAACAGAATGCATAGTTTTAAAAATCCTTCTCTATTAGCACTATCAGCTAGACTTCAGTTTAAATAAGGAGCTTTTTGCTGCATTATTTAACATAACTAAAGAATCTGATAAAACACAACCCCTAACCCTAATTTCCTTTTCCTTTTGCTCTGCTCTTTCTCCAGGGTCTGTCTTTATTGCTACTTACTGGCTTTCCTAGGATATGACTAATAACACTATAGGATGATGGATGGCAGCCTGAGAGACACAATCTCATGGTGAGGAACAACTGCTTGGCTGTTTTAGGTACAGGCATACCTTAGAGATACTGTGCGTGCAGTTCCAGATCACCAGAATAAAGCAAATATCGCAATAAAGTGAGCCACACGCATTTTTGGTTTCCCAGTGCAAATAGAAGTTATGTCTGTGCTATGCTGTAGTCCATTTAAGTGTGCAATTGCATTATGTCTCATAAAACAATGTACATACATTAATTTAAAAATGCTTTCTTGCTTAAAAATGCTACTTATCATCTGATAATCCAGAGTTGCCAAAATCCTTCAATTTGTAAAAAACACATTATCTGCAAAGCACAATAAAATGAAGTATGCCTGTATAACTAAGAAACTTTGTGTTTTCTTTATTAGGGAAAAAGTTCCAAGAAAGACTGCCCTACGTAGTAGAGGAGCAGAGAATTTGCATAAATAAAATAAACAAACTGTGGTAAACCCACTTAGTTTAGAAAAAAGTATAAGTGAAAGTGATGTTTAAATTCTAAAAAGTCATATTAAAAATTAACTCATCTTTTAAAATGGTTTCAAATATCCCTAGAGAAAGAAAATATAAAACATCTATTGCTCTAATTTAAGATACATGGAGTCCAAAAGTATATCCACAGAACACAAGAGTAAGAAAACCTTCTAATTCTATATTAGTTGAAGCAATATCTTCATGTAAGCATTTTCTAAAGTTTTACACGTTGTATGTCTAACTCACTTTCTTGTTAAAATTATCACTACTCATTTTCTGACTGCTAAGAAATTATTAAATAATAAAAAATAATTTCAACAATAAAAGGTAAACTGTACTCTATTTGTGGTAGAATGAAAAACTCAAAAGGTAAGTCTACTATGTAGTAACATTCTAAAAGATGTCACATGAATAAACTGTATTGGCCATAAGCAACTAATCATTTAACTCTTATAAAATGGGGCTTCTGAAAGTATAGGGGAAACTTCATTGCTTTTGATTATTTTGCTTTCTTTTCTTGGAATATGTGTTCAACATTAAAAGGTAAAACAGAAATTTATAATGCAGGTAGTAAAGTCCCCAAAATTCTACCCTCCAGAGGTACTTATTGATAATAGTTTGGTTGGATTAGTTCATTATAAACTGAGAAGCTGAGGAATTGAAAGGTAAAAAAACCCCACATGTCTTCTTACTTTAAAAAAATGCAGAATTTCACATTTACAAATGTTTAAAACATATTGTTTGATGAAATAATGTATGTAAATAAAAATAAAATCAAACAATTAGGTATTATATTTTAGATTAACAAAAGTTTTCGTAAATGCATAGAAAAAAATGGGATAAATATTTTGTTTACTAACTACATCTGTGGTTTTCTCTAAGGGTTGGGTTATGAAGAATTTTCACTTTGAACATTAAATATTCTTTTATTGGTTAAATTTTTCTTCAATGAGCATATATTACTTTTGTAATGAGGGGAAAACAATACTATGCAGCTGTAAAAAAAATAAAAAAGAGCTCTGTGTGCTGATACAGAGTTCTTGAGATTATATTACCCAATGGAACATGATGCAGAATACTGTATATAGTACCTTACCTTTTGTGTAACAAAAGGAAAAACAAAAATATATAACAAGACCTGCTAATCTCTGCATAGAGAAATAAAAATGAAAATGGTTACTTATGGGAGGTGAGGGGAACAGGATGAACAGAGATGGGGTGAGAGTAAGACTTCTCAGTATATAGCTTTCTATTAAAATAATGTTTTGTTTTTCTAAACCAAGAAATGAATTACCTATTCAAAAAGAGAAAGAACAAGGGAAAAAAGAAAAAAAAATTTGAAAAATCATGGAGGGAAAAAAATCCAAACTAGATTTCACATTTATAAGTACTATAATTTTTTAAAACAAAAATTTTATTTACTGAAAATATACAGAAAACTTCATGGAGTTACATAAAACCATTTAAATGTCTATTCTGGCTGAAGACAATGTGGGAAAAATGCTCTTCAAAAATCTAGAATTGAGATGTTAAATGTTTTAAATATCTATTTCAATTAGCTTTGATACATGATACAACTAAGATCCCTAACATGGTTGTGGAATTAACTTAAAAAAATTTTTTTAATCAGTGATTTAACTGATTTTTAACTGACTTATTTGTGATTTAACTGGTTTTTGGGGACAATTTAGGAATTTGAATAAGGACTAGGTATTAGATGATATTAAGTAATTATTATTAATGTTATCAAGTATGATAATAGTACTGTGATAATTAAAGAACATGTGCTTACACTTTAGAATAGCATCCCAATATACTTCTGGGTGAAATACCATGATGTCTCTACTTAAAAAAATATTTTAGAAAACAAAAACAACAAAAAGGAAACAATTATGGCAAAATATTAACAATTGTTAAATCCAGGTGATACATATAGATAGGGTTTCATTTTGTAGCCTTCCTATATGTTTACAACTTTTCATAATAAAAAATACATTTTACTACATGTTTGACATTTTTATAATAAAAATAATTAGTTCAGTTTTAAATATTCTTTGGTTCTTTTAAAAATCTACATCCTTGAGTCAAACAGTAGTTTATGAAAAAACTAAAGTATCTCTTTTTGACTGTTATTTAAATAGCAATTTACATATTATTTATTATTGATTTCCACACCAACATTCTGCAAATATCTTTTAAAACGAAGATATGTAAGTCTGCCATAATCAAATCAGTGTGGTATTATTAAAGTTCTAGGTAAAGAGATCAGCATTACAGTAGCTGCAGCAAGAAGAATCCACAGTTAGATCCCAGGATATACAAGTTTACAACGACAAATGTGGTAGATCAAGTTCAGTGAGATAAAGATGGATGTTGGTAGCACAACTGGTTATCTATTTCTTGGAAAATTTTAATTAAAGTTTAGAAACTTAAATGTAAAAACTAATATAATAAAATAACGCAAGAAAATCTAGACTATTACATATATATCAGTTTCTACAATATACAAAAACCTCTTGTAAACTGCTAACTCAACAGGAAAAAATGAACAACAGGTAATTCACATTCAATTGGCCAAAAAAATGAATACATACTCAAATTCACTAACAACAAAGGAAATACAAATTAACAGAAGTGAAATGCCACTTCACACTCATCAGATTGGTGAGGATGTGAGGGACAGGACAGTCCCATAGGATGCTGATGGGCATGTGATGATGCATTGTTCAGTAAAAAATCTGTGAAAGGCAATCTGGCAACTCTATTAAAAGCAGAAACATCTCTCTCTCTCTCTCTCTCTCTCTCAATATATATATATATACACACACACATAGTCTTCAAATTTGTACTTCCACTTTCTGGGAACCAAGCCAACCAAAATAAAAGTAAGAGTATAAATAGATACATACAAGAATACTATTGCAGCACTATTCAGAGTGGCTTAGAACTGAAAACAAAGTGAATGTCCATCAACAAGGGAACGGCTGAATAAACAGCACACTCTCAGCATGAAGTAAAGAACGCACCTTATGACCCCATTCCTGTAAAACAATGACAAAATCACCACTAACACCCCTCCACATAATATATCTATGTATACAAAGCTCTGTGTAAGATTTATATGAGTGTGAAGTGAAATACAGAAGGCTCCACATTGAGCTGTTAGTTAAAGTGCGTTCCAGAAAGGAGGAGCAGGGTCAAGTTTGATGGGGAAGGAAAGTTTTCATGATAAAAGCAGATATGATGTGGTCCTATTTATGTAATATTTTGTTTGCATATGCAGGTATAAATAGAAGCATTAAAATTTTTTAATCACTGTAACCTTTCTTATAAATGGAAGAGTGTCTGCAAGTGCATAAGGAAAAGGTTTTCACAATGAAACAGCATGATTTAAAATTATTTTTCTAAATATAGACTACCAGAATGAGTACAATCATTCATGTTTTCACACCACGCACATGATAAAATCAGTGTATACTGGTACGTGTGCCCATCTGGATGGCAGGCGACCAACATGGAAAGGTATATGAACTTGCCTGAATATAACATGCCCAGGTCAGTGAAGTTCAATTACAACACCATCTTCCTCATCAATATATTTCTCTTGCAGCAAGCACCCACTGGTAGCAGGAGCCAGTGGTAGCTCCTCAAAGGGGAAGTTACCTGGCAAGTGATGTGAACATAAGGTAGATCCGGAGAGAGTGGATACGAAGGAGAGGATTTCTTTCCATTCTGTAGAGAGTCTGTGAGCTTAGAAAGACATTGCTGCACTTCATTTAGGTTCCTGGATAAAACTTTCAGTTCCTTAGACAGCTGATAAATTTCCTTTTCCCTTTGTACGTTAGGAGGTTCTGGGGTCTTGGTGTGGTCTGGAGTGCCGCTGGGTCTGGGCAGTGTTACTGGCTGGTTAACAGGTCCGGCACCTGGAGTTTCTAGGGCTGTGGAGCCATCACAGATACTGGATGGAGGACTTTTGATTTCTTTAATAAGGGTTCTTCCAGGATTCCTACTCGGATTGCTGCTATTAGCTGTTAACAAGAGCCCTCCATTTTGGTGATAAAAATCTGGGGAAAGACTTTCAATTAGCTTTTTATTTGCTTGGTTTAACACAGTACTGAGAGCAGAGTAACCACTCTGGTTTTCACTCAACGTCACTGGAGATTCTTCTTCCAACATCACTTCTCTAACAATCAAACGAAGCATATACTGATCAGACTTTGAAGAAGGAAGAAATGCTGAATCAGTGGGTCTTTGTTCTCCTACCAAAATTAATAATAATTTATCTGTCAAGAAACATATGCCTTTTGGTCTTTCATTACTCTCTAACTGAATCTGCCGGATGTTTGGCATAAATGATGGAATGACAGAATAGATAAAAATTGTATTATACGTATTGGAAGCCACTGCGACTACCTGTGCTTTAAGACTAAATGCTATTAGATCAGGAACCAGAATGCCCGGAATGGTGACTTTCCTATTCTGCGTAACCTCTTTCTCAAAGTTCAAGAGGACCAAATGTGAAGAATCCAGGCCAGTTCCCGTCAAGTAGTCCTTTTTTCTTAGACAAATAAGAGAACTACCCTCAGATTTAGATCTGCTGAAGTGTATATGAGTTAGATCCAGAAGATCAGAAAAGGATGAAGAAAAGGGAGAAACCGGTGTTTCAGAACTTGTTTCAGAAGCGACTGCGTCGTTATCCACAGAGGAAACTTCATCAGTAACTGGTAAAGTATATGAACAAGTGTCTTCACCACTAGGGGCAACGTCAAAGGTGCCAGATGCATTTAAGCCACAAATCTTACCTAGTGGAAGCTCAGTGGCTATAGCAACCTCTGAGTTCACAGTGGCTCCGATGGAGCACACGTGGCTGTCCACATCAAACACTGGGCAGAAGGAGCACCTGTGAAGAGCCTTCTGAGCACTGTCCCAAATATAAGAATGCAGGCTGCTGCCTACTGCCACCACCAGCATCTGACCATTCTGGGTCCAACACGCACAGTGAATGAGGCCTTGGGTGTTGAGGTCCACTTTTACCTGGGAATTGTTGCAGTGGACATTATGGAAAATGGAGACATCCTGTGCAGTCAACACAGTCAGGACAGCAATTTTTGGGTGCCACACACAGCCCTGGGGAAGGACAGGGAATGACTGTCTTATCTCACAGTTCTGAGACATCAGCCATTTGCCTGTATCCGAGGTGCTAGGACACAGTTGCCACACAATGACATGCATCTTGTGCTGGACAGCGAGCAGAGCAGGTGTATCAGCTGTACCAGGTGGGGCCCAGGACACCCCATACACATGTTCAAATTGTCCAATGACCTTTGAGTCTCCAAATGTGGCCTCTCCACTCTGAACCTGTAAGTCAGTCAGGACTACCTGATTTCCATCAGTCCAGGCAAGGCCGTGAATTGGGTGTATTGCTTGATACAATGCATTCAGTCCAGTCCTGAGAAGTCTTCCTTTTCCCAACTCCATCCTTTCTGATAAAGGTTATCTGAAATAATTATGAAGGAAGTTATACCATGAGAATATAATTAGACAAATTCAAAATGTAGAACATTTTACCAGACAATGGCTTAGCCCTTTCACAAGTCATTACTGTGAGGGGATAAAAGGATGGAAGGAATGTAACAGATTAAAAGACAGCCTGGCAGTGCTTAGAAATTATTGTTCCTGCAAAATAAGGTCAAACTTTTGAAGCCAAATGACTAAACTGTTTCAGTGAAATTTTAATAAAGAGAATGAAATTTCAGATTTTTTTCTTGTTGTTCCACAGGTTCACTCTATGATCACCTCTGCAGAATACTGATTTTTATTCAATTTATGGAGCCAAATGTATATTCTGGACACCTCTAGTTCAAACTTCTCTGATCACAGAACTGGAATACTGAACAACAGCAATATAGACAAAACAATAATAATGCTTATAGTAACAGTTCTTGGTTCAAAATTCTAAGCCACTCATAGGAAAGCAGGTAAACAAGCAAAAAATGTACACTCTGAATACTAACCCCATGTCTCTTTAAGTTACTGTAATCATAATTTTTGAATGTAGCCTCACTATGATGCTATAATTAATTAGAGAGAGCCAATAAAATATGCAAGATGCACGTAAGGCCTGAAATGAGTCAACTCATCATGGAGTTGATCAACACAGTAGACAGCTGCCTCAAATTCTTTTGTAAATAGAGCACATAACAATTACAAGTATGTAATAAGATCATACGTGTGCCTAAAGATTACAATCGTATAAAATTAAATGCCAAAGCCTAATTACAAAATGCACTATGTGATAAACTACAAGGTCCTACTGTATAGCACAGGAAATTATATTCAATACCTGATAATAATCTATAATGAAAAAGTATGAAAAGGAATGTATATATACATATATATATATAACCGAATCATGCTATACACCAGAATCACGCTAACACGACATTGTAAACAGACTATACTTCAATTTAAAAAAATGCACCATGTTATTTGAGTCATAATTTTTATTGCAATTAATGATCTGAGATGTTTGAAAAGAATCTTTTTAAAGCTTTCAAATATCTTTCTTTCACATATACTTTTCCTTTAGATTGCTCATATCTGACTCCTTCTTGTCAGTATGCTTTATTTCACTTTATTCTCAACACTGAAGGGAAAGCAAAAGGTAAGACTTGAATTCCCATTTGTCACCAAATTAAAATATGGTAGAACCTTACTAACTTCCATCAATTTCAATGGTAAAATTTTATGTTAGCCTTTCTGTGAAATGTTGAGACATGCCAAAACAAAGGAAATCAGGATGACAGTTACTGAATATGCAAAAACAGACCATATTCTATAAATACACCCAGATACTACCTGAACTTGCCAAAGGAAATGAGGGAATAAACATGTCCAGCATGTGCCACACTTAGGGCTGGTCACCTAGAATCTGATATGATCCTTGTAATAGTCTTGTAAGGATGGCATTCTTACTCTTATTTGAGAGACAACAAAGCTGAAGCTCTAAAAAGAGACTAACCTTTCACATCTTACAACAAAACACCTTCCAGATAAAGATCCAAATGTGTAAAACAAAAACATAACAGATTTAAAAGAAAGACTTTCGACAGAACTATAGAAACACTCAAACACATACACGTATATGGATTTACTGCAGCATCTTTTGTATTAGAAAAACCCAAATGTACATCAATATGGAAACAGTTAAATAAAAAATAAAGACGCTCCATGAGTACTGATAAGAAAAAAATCTTTCCTCGTAAAAAATGCAGTGAAATTGACAAAGTAACATGTCTAGTATGCTCCTATTTATGGAAAAAAATTCACCTCTGTATGTCTATATACATGTGTGTTCATGTACACTTACATAAAGATGCAGAAAAGGATCAGAAATGACACATACCAAAGTGTTCATAGTACATACTGAGATGCAGTGAGGTGGTGTAAGAAAGACACTGGGATACTTACTTCTGTATTTCTTGGGAAAAATTGCTTTTATAATATGTATGTATTCAAACAGTCCTTTTGTAATTGAAAAAAAGTAAACATTTAAATGTAAAAAAATACTTACTTTATAAAAAGCTGTTATAAGCCAGATAAAAAGACAAAACACGCTAAATTTTAAAGTGGACAAAGATTACCAACAGGCAATTTACAAAATAATATGATGATCAAAAAGCATATTCTAAGTGATGTTTAAGCTTATTAATTATCATAAAGGATTGTCTAAACTTGCAGCGTTCATTTCTTCACCATTCTCTTCTTAATCCACCACAAACTGACACCATTTCTACCTCTTCTCTAAAACAACTCTCACCAACTCATCAGTGCCATCCACCTCACAGAATCCAATGGACATTTTTCAATCTTGTTTTACTGACTCCTAACTAAAGACAGAACCTGAGAAATTGCCTTCAGACTCTAAATTCAAAGAAATGTATTCTCCACCAAACTGGCAGATTTGCTTTTAACTTATCTGCAAATTATTTCTCATATCTCTTTGCTACCATTGTCCCTGCTCTTAGAATCTTTTACTAAGATGGAATGGTCTGTTATACTTCTACACATGATGTCAGATTAAGTGGTTTGGCAGTGACTTGCTAAATGAAGAAATATGTCCTCTGTCATTACTAATAACAAAAACTGCCATCTCAAACCTACTGGTCTTGTATAAGATAATGTATGTTTTTTCCTAATATCTACTTATGCACTTTTAAAAGACTTCTATTGATAAATAATGCATGACACATTTTCCTGGGCAGAGAAAATCCCTAATGGGCCAATTGTATCAAAGGCAATTTATATGATATGTTTTAGGCCACCCAAGTCAGTCTAATGTCATTAAGACTGTGTATGGCCAGGAGTAACAGAAGGTAAGGGATAAATGTCCCTTGTGAATAAGGGAAAAATAAATGATAATAAAGTTACTGAGATTTTTAGAAGAATTAACTTTAATATTCTCATCTTTAATCACAAGAAGAAATTCGGCCTATTTCCCTCAAAATCCTAATAATTACAAAAATCTGTTCTAATTCTTTCATTTCTATTCCATTTCCTATCTACTGCATTATTAGTCCAGGTCCTGAGCCCCTCTTCCTTTTCAGTAGGGTAGGACAAGGAGAAGTCCTCTTCATACCGGTCTCTTCTTTCCCACAGAGCCAGGACTCTGTATGTTGGGTAGAATTATCTGGAGAAAAGTCACAGCTCTGGTCATTTTGCATTTCTGCTCAAATGCCTTTGATGAGTCTCCACAGTCTATGCATATAAAAGTTCTTCCAAAATGTTTCAGCAAAGCATTGAAGGCCGTAAACTGTCCTATATTGCTAGACCTTTCCAGCCTTAACCCCCTGATCATAAAGGGACTGCTGAGGAATTTGGAATTTAGAGGAACCAGCACGCATTTATGCAACAATGTGCAGAATGGACCTGAGAAAGTAGGAAGCTGACAAGTTTAATAAGGGACCAGGAAATAGTTTGAATGTTACTATGAGAAAGTGAGCCAAGTCTGTAGCTACTTCAGTAGAGAAAGAGAGCCAGAATTCAAGAGGTATTTCTAAGACAGATGAAACAGACATCAAGTAGGATGAGCAGTGAGGAAGGAGAATTAAGGATAACATGGGAAATTGCTGAACCATTAAACAGAGATAGAGGGCAGAACATGCTTCAAAGGAAAGAACAGTGTGTAGTGTGTAACAAATTTAGTATTAAATGTGCTTCATTTGTCTATAGGGTAGAACTGCACCTTAGGCAGTCACAAGTAAACATCTGGGGGTCACTGTCACAGAGTCTGTAACGTTACAAGAGCGCCAAGAGGACAAAGGCTGAAATGGCCTTCAGGTGTTCTCCAATTATTTTGTATATTTTTAAATATTTACATTTTGCTTGAAGCTAACTGTGTATCTCCTGGTCTCAACCCTCAGACTATAATATTTCTCAAATCAGGGGCCCTGGGTGTTTTATAGAGAGAAAGGCTGACTGTATTAGTTCAGGGGGGAGATGGTCAGAACCAGGACCTGGTGCTCAGTCTATGACCATTTAATTCTTCTGTTTTTAATCTTCTTTAAAAACAACTCATAGTGAGAATCTAGGGGCTTAGGTGAATTGGAGCACTTACTGTAGGTTTAAACAGAGTTCCATATTTTGCAATTTGTTTTTCTAAGTTTATTGTGTTTTCACTATAAAATAATTCCAAGTTATTTACACTTATTGTTTTAAATTAAAACACAGGAAAGGTAAAAAGGTAAATTCACAAAAAACCATTCATCAAAGAAAATTATGACTACATCCCTTCAGCCTTTTTTCTATGCAGTTTTAAACTTTTTCAATCATACTGTACAATATCGTATCACGATTTTTTCACTTCACATATATTATCAGTTTCTCAAGTTACTTAAAAGTTTTATTAATTACTTTTAGGAGCCACTTAATATTCACTTTTCCTCACTGTTGAGGAAGTTCCATAATTTTCCCTCACTGGGAGATACCAGGTTATGGCCAAATTCATCCTTCTATAAATAACGTTGCGATAAAGGTGTTTACGTATAAAGCACGTTCTTCATTTTGAATAGCAGACTTAGGACATATTCCTATATATAGGAGTGTCACTCGTGACACAGAGAATATATTCACTGATATAAACTCACTCACCCCCTGCTCGTCCGCATCCGCCAGCCCCTCGCACGCGGCCCCCTACCAATTCTCCCCATCCTCTCCGCACACCTGTGACACATCCTCTCTCCTCCCCACCCTCAAAGTACCGATCCCTCCACTACCCTCCCCGCCCACCTACAGCCTCCCCAAACCGGCCAGGCCAGACAGTAGTGGAGACAAAATACCTTTGGCCTCACAGCCCCACAGAAAATCTGTCTCCCGGAGTCCGCCGGGGCTCACGCACCGCGGATCTGAAGCCGTAAGCGAGTACCGGAAGCATCGGCTCCCAGGCCCCTGATAGGTGAGCGGAGGCTGGGCAAGCTCGGCAATACCTCGGCCTATTGGCTTTTATATGTGTCCGTTAGGAGAGGGTCCTTCCCACTGGCCAATAAGCTCGGGCTTTGCCCCACGGGCCTCTGGGAGTTGTATTCCCGACGGTAAGCCTGCCACAAGTTCTCCCGTGAGAGGTTTAGCGCCTTCCCCCACTTCTCATCGGTTCTCTTAGTCTAAGAACGAGTCCGGGAGCCCCAGAGTCAACACAATTCCTTAGCCTTTCTTTTGTGGGAGTGGTGGTGGAGGTGGTGGGGGTCGGGGATGGGAAGGAGTCGCAGCCCTCCTTAAAATAAGATAAAAATCTCCTCAGAAAAATGTTCTTATCCGTTCACAAAATGGTGTGCATTTAACTGAAGCCGCTCCACGGACCTGTCCCAATTACAAACTCCTATTCTACACTTACCCCAACAGTGCCTGCCCTTGGCCACAGCTCAAGGAGCTAGTGCGACACTAGGCTAAGACCCCTATACCCCTGGGACATTCTGGGCCCCGCCTTGGAGCAAGCAGCCCGTGGGGAATTTCAGACCCTGACCCTCACAGCACGGTAGATCGTCATGTTTCTTGAACAATACAACCAGCCCTCCTTCATCAATGCTGATAACTGAAGTCTCTGCCCTATTCATCTGGGAGAGTGGCGGGAGGCGAAGTGGAGGAAGAACACCTCTCGGGCCCACTCTGGACATCTTTGCCCTGGCTTTTCTCCCCATGCCTAACTTCCGGCGCCACTCGTCAGAATCATACATCAATTTTTGCAGCAATGCGTTGAAGAATGAGAAAAAAATGAAACAAAAGTTAAAGTCTCATTCATTTTTCAAGCAAACGTTAACTCCTCCAAAAAATTGTCTTTCCAGATTCCTGGATCTCCTTTGGGTGGAGGCGAAGGGTCTTGCGTGGAGGAGGAACTCAAGGTAGAACTCATTCATTCATCCCACAGCAGAATCACCCCACCGCTGTTACTGTGTGACCCCACTCAACACAGATTCAGATTCAATTCGTCGAGGACAGCAATTCTGTCTTAATTCAGTTGGTACCCCCAGGGCATAGTTCTCTGCCCTGAAAGGTGGGAACCCACCTGTGCGTGGGATGGAGAAGAGGGGTTTAAGTTGGGTGCAGGAGAGTCAGTAATGACTGGTTTCTTCCCCTCCCCTGTCCCCTCCCCCCCGCCCCCCCCTTAACCCCACCTCAACCCCAGCTTGCCCCTGCAGATTCCGGCTGCCTAGCTGGGGTAGCTACATCTCTGGTGCTTTCATAACGTTCTGAACTCTATGGCGGTGAACGCATCTAATTAAAGCGTTGGTTTCGTTACCAGCCTTCTTCCCCTAGTCTGTGAGACCGAGTTGACTCCTGGAGCTTAACAGAGAGTAGGTGCTAGATAAATGTGTTGAACAGATGGATAGATGGATGGATGGATGTATAGATGGATGGACAGATGGGTGGGTGGGTGCGCGGGTAAATGCGCTTGTCTGCATGCCTCCCTCACCTTCCTTCCCAGTCAGTAGGTTAATGATCTTTAGCCTGGTCAAGCTCTAGAGCAGCCTCGTCAGGGTCCCTTCCCCCGGGCCCCGCCCCGGTCGACCCCACCTTTCCGCGCCGCTCCGCCCCGCCGCCCCCTTCCCGGTGGCCCCTCCCCGCGCAGGTCCCGACTCCAGCCGCACCTCCTCCGACTCTGCAGTGGCGGAGGGGAGGCAAGCAGGAACGCCAGCGGGCCAGGGCCGGAGCCGAGCCGGGGTCAGGGCAACAGCGGGGACCCTCGGAGGCGGGGCCAGTGGGACCGCGATGGGCGTGGAGATCGAGACCATCTCTCCGGGAGACGGTACCGGGTGGCGGAGCTGGGGGAGGAGGAGGGGTCTCGGGGCGGAGCCCGGCGGGCGGGGGTCCGATAACGAGGTGGCGCGGAGGGTGCCGAAGGGGGAGCGGGCCTAGGATGGGGGCGGCGGGAGAAAACCCCAGACGGGATTGTTGGGGATCTAGCAGACATCCTTCGCCATCCCTTTCCGCTCCTGCTCACCTAGAGGAAAGAAGGCGGCGGCCGGGAGGCTGGGGTCTGCGGCCCGCCACCGCCCCGGGGGCCTCTGGCTGCTACTGCCGCGGCTGGAACCACTCGGTTACCCACTACTGCTGATTTCCCAGGTTTCCGCTACTGCTCCGCTTCCCTGCCCTGCTGGGTGAGCTCTGGAAACAGGGGAAACGACATGCTTTGGGGTCTCTTCTGCTCGGGGCAGCCCCCTTCTAGCGCGCTTGCCGCCGGGCCTCTTGTCTGGCAGCCCTCTAAGATCTGGGCGGTGAGAAGCTGTAAGGACAGAGCCAGTCTGGAAAGGGAGAACTCCCTCTCCTGCCTCCGCATCTTGCTTTATCCTTCCTGCCCCACTCAGCTTCTCCGGCCATCCTGTCCACTCCCATGACTTTCATTATGGGCTTCAAACCGATGGCCTCCAAACTTAAGCCTCCAGCCCAGACCTCCAATCTGAGTTCACGGTGGTCCATTTATCCAGCTTCTGCTCAACCTCTACCTGGACATCCCGCGGATCCCTCAAAGTCAGCAAGTCCAAAACAGAACTCATGCTCCTCTGCTTCCCCACGCTCAAGCGCTCCTCTGTGTTCCCTGTTTCCTGCCTCAGGATTGGCACCACTCACTTTCCCAAGCCAGATATTACAGGCGTTCCCCTTGTGTAACTGAATCTGGATGTGCAAGGAGTAGCTATTTCTTTATTTCTTAAATCAACAGTAATTCAGACTGGAGCCCCCATTTCTGCAGAATTTGACAGGCAAACTGCATGTCAGACATTATTGACACCCCCCACAGGAAATTGGGGGGGTTTTTGGTTCCAGGCCACCCTCCTTGAAGAAAAGCACTGGTCTCTGGAAGCCCCAGCCACAGCCTTGGATCACCCAGGAAGTATAGGCTTCTTTTTCCATGCTGGGAACCATGGTTCTGGGTCCCAGGAAACATCTCCCTGAGGCCTTGTCACCCACCCCAGGACACTGCCATAGAGTTCTGCCGGAGGCCTGGAGGCCTCTTCTCCCTTCTCTGGCTTACAGAAGCCTTTAGAGTTTCTTCTTTTCTAAGGACAAGGGGCATTTTCTCTTGAAGGGGATCATATTTTTAGGGAAAGCCTGAAGGAGCTTTGGCCTTCTGCTTTTAGGTCAGTCTAAACCTCTGAGTCAAGGAAGCACAAAAGGGCCAGCTACCGTGCTGTATCCCAGAAGGGGGATGTACCAATTAATATTTCGACAGCTATGCTCTTGTATTCAGGATGACTGTCTTGACTGGACCCACACCAAATCCTGCCAAGTTCTCTTGCTGAGTATCTCTAAGGCTCCATCTCCTCAGTCCCTGCCCTAGTTCAGGCCACCGTCATCTCTCACTGGGATTTCTGCAGTCTCTAAACTGGTCTCCTCACCTCCAGTCTCAGCCCCTGGCCTTGCATCTGGCCTCCCACCTCACCCCCACTGTTTTCCCCATCACAGCCTGAGGATTCTTTAAAGTGCATATTTGACCATGCCCCTCGCTAGGCATAAAATGTTTTAATGAATCTTCCATCTCTTTCTCCAGGCAGACAGTGATATAGCCTCCTGTTACCTTTTACACTAGAGCCTGATCTCTACCAGTCCCTACCCCCACCACCAACTTTTCCTCTGGTTTTATTGAGCTGTCTGCAAGTTGTTAAATACACCAGTCATTCAGCAAATATTTATTGAACATATACTGTGTTCTAGGCCCTGGGGTTACAGCAGGGAACCAGATGGACTCCCACTACTGCTCAACTTGAGGCCTTTGAACATGTGGCTCACTCTTCCCAGATTATCTCCTTTACTTCCTCTGGCAAACTACTCATCTTTAAAGACTCAGTTTAACCATTATCTCCTCTCAGATACTTTACCTGACACTCTGTCAGTTGCTCCTGCCTCTGGGCCCCCATCTAAATATTGGCTCAGCTGTTAGCCCTCCCAAGGCTTTTTTATCCAGCCCCATGGCTTTAAATCCCACCCAAATTTATACCTCCAGTGCAGACTTTCCCTCTGCCTATTTGCAATATAAACTCAGATGTCTAATAGGCATCTTAAGATTGCCGCCCACACAAATCTGTTCCTCCTCAGTCCTCCCCATCTCAGGAATTAGCTCCTCCATCCTTCTTGTCGCCCAGATGTAAAACCCAAGCATCGTGCTTGTTTTTTCCTTCACCCTATCCTGGATCCCATCTCCAAGCCATTAGCATGCCTTGTCAGCTCTGATGCCAAAATATATCTCCCATCTATTTTACTCTCTTCTCTGCTGCCAACCACGTTAATTCAAGCCATCATTGATTTTCTGTCTGGGTTACTGCAACAGGCGCCTAACTGTCCATCCTACATACAGCAGCCAGAGTGATCTTATAAAATCTTAATTTAGATTATGTCATTGTCTTGCTTAAAACCCTCTAGTGGCTTCCTGTTCCACTTAGAATTAAACCCAGCTCTGCAAGGCCCTGTATGATCCGGCTCTTTCCCACTTGTCTCCACCTTCTTCCATCTTTCCAGTCTTCTAGGTTCCTTTCTGTTTTGCAAATGCACTGATCCATTCCTGCCTCATGGTTTGTGCACTTGCTGCTCCCTCTTCCTGCAGTGCTTTTCCCAGCATATTGCTCATCATTCAAATCTCAGCTCAAATGTCATCTTCTCTGAGAGGCTGCCCCGGACCACCCATTCTAAAATGGCCTATCCCACTAAATCTCTGCCTAATTCATCATTCTGTTTATTTTCTTTAGAGAACTTATCACTATCTATGTTGTCTCGTTTATTTGAGTATTGTTTGTTTCCCTCCATTAGAATGTAAACTCCAAAAGAGTAGGGATCTTGTCTGTATGATTTACTGGTATATCCTGAGATCAGGCCCAGGTCTTGCATATAGTAGTTATGCAGTAAACATTTGTGAATGATTGTATTTATTCATTCTTGAGAGCAGTCATCACCCTGCATTATAGTCTATTATTTATGTGTCTGTGTCCCAAACTTCATGAGTTCATAGATTGCTCTGTGTCTCTGGAATCTAGTCCAGGCCTGGCAGAGAGCAGGCTGTCAGAAATGCTCATGGAATTGATGAAGGGAAGTAAAAAGAGCAATCAAAGAAATGAAAAGAACCAGCAGAGAGTGGAGTTGAGGAACCCAAGGGAATAAAATTCAAATCAAGGACTGAGAGGTGAAGTGACTAATCTGGCTCATACAAAGCAAGAGCCAGACCTGGAGCCATGGGCATCTCCATGGTATGGAGAGGAATGTGGGTCATAGGTCTTGGTCACATCACACCTGAAATGTTCCAGGTGACTTTTCCCTATATGCTGTTCATTCATCTGCCCTAATGTCTCCTTGCAGGAAGGACATTCCCCAAGAAGGGCCAGACGTGTGTGGTGCACTACACAGGTAGGCCTCGCTCCCTTAGCCCTCATCCAGACCTGCTCCTCCCCAGGCAGGTCTCTCCTCTGACACTCCTCTCCAATGGTATCTTCCCTGCTGGATCAGGCCCAAGGCCTAAGGCAGCCAAGTCTCCTTCTGACCAGCTGTCCCTCCCATTCCTCCCAGTCAGCCTTGAGGAGATGAGAAAGGGGGCTTACAAGATTAACCCCTTCCCACTTAGACCAGCAAGAGCCATCATGGTGCTAGCCTCTAACTGAGCCAGCCACCTCCACTCCCCTTTTGTCTGTTGCAGGCAGGGTGGAGCCCTGGCCCTCCTGGTTCTGTCTAGTACTTGGAAATTCCTCTTACAGCTCTGAGGGCCCTGACCCTCCTTATAGACTCCCTTTTCATCCAACAGTGTTTATTCTAGAAGAGGAATTTGGCTTCCTTAGAATTTCCTTTCTTTTTTCAGAAATAGACTATTCAATTCAGCCTACTGCTATTGAGCACCTATTGTGTGCAAGATTCTGTTCTAGGCACTGGACACATGCCGCGTGCGCGCACACACACACACACACACACACATGAATCCCTACCTTCACGGGGGCTGTGGGGGTTGGAGAAAGGCAGACAAGTCAACCGGAGGCTCTGACGCCATGTGAGGGATGGGTGATGGCAGTGCTTGCCTCAAGGTGCTGTGGGAGCCAGAGGAGGGCCCCACATCTCTGCTCAGCCCTCTGGGGTGATCTGGATTGGAAGGCCAGGTGGGCTGAGGAACATTCTAGATGAAGTTCCTGAGGACGGCTGGCAGGAAGATCATGAGCAGGTGTTTGTTCCAAGGCGGGTGAGTGTTCTGCCTTGTGACTTGCTTCCCAATGTGGCAAACCTGGTGACAGCCACTTAGCAGAAAGCAAGGCCAGTTTAATTCCTAGGACATATTCAGATGGGGCCATTTTTAGCAATTCTCTGGGCCAGGGTGAAGTGCCAGGTTAATTCTAGGCAGACGGTGTGGGTATTTCTCAATAGCTGTGTTGCCAGTCGCTGACGTCAGCGGGCTAGAGCTGTGTTTTATCTCCCGGTGATGTGGCCTAATTACCATGAGTCTTCTGGGGCCTCTGACCTGTGTAATTGATTTATCTGTTCTACATGTTGCAGACAGACCAGTACTTATCAAGTTACTGAAACCACAACATCCTTTTGAAAAGAGTTTTCACAATACAGAAGGCAATGTGCATTAAACACTGACATCAGCCATGAGTGGCTCTGGTCTGGGGAGGGACTGTCTTATCAAACCCAACAGGAGACTGTATGGGATTTTTTGCTAAACTTTTAAATTATATATAAATACAGCAGAGAACATAACTCTAAGATTTGCAGTTCAGTGAAATTTTTCAAAAGTGATCACACTTATATAACCATCCTTTAGATCATCATAGACATTTCCAGCAGCCCCAGGAGTCTCCCTCATGCCTCCTCCTAGGCATTACACCTCCCTAAAGGAACCAGCCTTCTAACATTTTGTCCCTATGCATTAGTTTTGCCTACTTTTGCACTTCATATAAACGGAATCGTAGAGTAGGTAATCTTTTGGATTTGGCTTATTTCACTTATTATATTACTTACTTCACTTTTTATACCTGTGAGATTTATCCGGGGTAGTTTGCTGCTCTTTTTTATTCCTGTATAAGTCATTGTTTGAGTATATAGTTTATCATCTCTGCAGTTGATGAACATTTGGTTTGCTGCTGGATTTTAGCTATTAGGAGTAGTGATGCTTTGAACAGTCTTGTAGATGCCTTTTGGTACACATATGTATACATTTTGGTTGGCTTTATACCCAGAAGTGGAATTGCTGGGGCACAGGGTTCTCTCTGTGCTCAGCCTTCCAATTTCCACTGCCACTAGCAACGTACGACAGTGCCAGTTCTCCTACAGCCTCATCAACACTTGGTATTGTCAGGTTTCTGGCCCACTCTGGTGGGTGCTCAGGGTATCTCATTGTGGTTTTGATTTGCACTGCCCTGATGATTAATGAAGTTGAGTACCTTTTCATGTGCTTACTGGCCATCCGGATAGCCTCTTGAGTATGCCCAAATTTTGTCCACTTAAAAAAAAATTAGGTTGTCTGTCTTTTTCTTACTGATTTGTAGGAGTTTATTATGTATTCTGGATATGAGTCTTTCGTTGGTTATACCTATTCCAAACATCTCCCATGCTATGGCTTGCCTTTTTACTCTTATTGGCATCTTTTGAACAGAAATTCTTAATTTTAATGAAGTTCTACATATCAGTCTTTTCTTTTATAGTTAGTACTTTTGTGTTCAGTTCAGAAATCTTTATCTATTCCTAGGTCAGGAAGATATTATTCTGTTTAGTATTTTATAGAGGCTTTATTATTTTATGTTTCATATTTAGGTCTGTGATTCATCTGGAATTGATTTTTTTTATGTGTAGGTGAGACAGGAGGGATAGGTTCATTTTTTCCCCATAGGCATATATAGCTGATCCAGCAAAATTCATTAAAGAAAAAAAAATTCATCCTTTTTCCATTGCATTGCAGTGGCACCTTTGCAAATCAGGTCACCATATATCTTTGGGTGTGTTTCTGGACTGCATGGTTTTGGCTGAACCTGCAGCAGTAGATAACTGTATATGGTCTGAAGTAGATTAAGTCATCTGAAACCTGAAGAAATTAGAGAATGAGAAAGCTAATCTTTAAATGGTTTGTGTGAATGTGTGAGTGAGTGTGTTTGTGTGCATATCCATATGTATATTTGTACAAGTATGTGTCTGTGAATGTTATTATATCTGTGTATCTAAATATTTTCATAGCATCTGTTTGGCCATCGGGGTTTTCTGAGTGCATGTGCATAAGTGCACGTGAGCATGCATGCGCATCTCTGAATATCTTAGCAACCTGTGTGTATGCGTGAGTTTGTATTTGATCTCCCATATTTGATACGGAAGTATCCATCTGTGTGTATCTTCATGTAGCCATAGGGTTTTCTCCCTTGCCTGATTTAGTACTCAGGGCAAGAGCCCAATTTATTCTGTCCCAAAAGTAGGTAAATAAGAATGTCTCTTGTATACATTTAAGTTGTAGGAATTACGAAGTGGGATCACAGATGCTCAGATACTAAGCAGGCCCAGACTTCTCATGTTAAACGTGGCAAATCTGAGGCTATAAGGGATGTGATTCGCCTAACTTCACACAATGAGTTAGTGCCAGAGTGAAGCCAGAATCTAGTCTCTGAACTTACAGACCAGGCCTTTTTCTGGTCCCAAATTTCCTTCTGTTGTGGTGCGTGGGCCACAAGAAGTGAATAGCATCATTTACAGTTCTGCTCTTTGAGCTAAAGACACCAATTAGAATTGAAATAGAAGAGCAGCTCTTGAGTTTTGGCAGTGGGACTGAGACAACACATGTACATCAGGAATGACAAGGTATCTGTGGCTGGAGGCTGAGAGATGTTCCCAACTGCTGAAGACAACTCGGGGTGATCTGGGTTCGAACAGCCCTTTTGAATGGGGTCTGGAGGCCACCGCTGACTGGCTAGGTCACTTTATTCCGTTCACTGCAGTAAAGGATCATACGACCTTTGCATTTTACATGTTGGGGGAACCTTGGGAAAACCAGGTTTCAAACTCAATCTGAGATTGAAATGCCTGGGAAAACAGACCTTCAGGCTAAAGGAAGTGGTATGAGAAAAGTTGTAACCTGCAGAAGTATTTGAGAAAGGTGTGACCTGAATAGGACAGGGAAAGGAAAAAAAGGGGAGGGCAGAGAGAAGCTTATCAGGCAGACAGTAGCCAGATCTTGAAGTGCCTGGATACAAGGTAGGTGTTTGGATTCTGCCATGGGGAGTTACTGAAGCATTTTAAGCAAGGGAGTAATATGATCAGGTATGTGTTTAAAAAAAAAACAAAACCAAAAAACCAGAAATTCTGGGTGCAGTGTGGAGAATGGAATGGAGGAGTAAGAGCAGAGCAAAAAGACCAGGTAGAGGTGGTTCCCGTACACAGGTGAGACATGATGGCTTGATGAGGCCTCAGGGTGGCGGTAATAGAAATGGAGAAAATAGGAGGGGAGAGTATAGCTCAAGTGGTAGAGCACATGCTTAGCATGCACAAGGTCTCTGGGTTCAATCCCCAGTACCTCCTCTAAAAATAAATAAACCTAATTACCTTCCCCCACATTCCCCCCCCAAAAAATAAATGGAGAAAATAGTTGAACTCCAAAGACATAATAGGACTTGGTGATAGGCTATATGTGAAAGTATCCAGGTTTCTCATTTGGCCAACAGGATGGATGGGGAGGATGGGAAAACGAGCAGGTTTGTGCAGAGTAGGAGTTCCATTTCTGACATGTTGAACCTGTTTTGGGAGTTAACTCATAACCACAGCTCTTTTCCACCCTATCTCTGCTTTCACAGGAATGCTCCAAAATGGAAAGAAATTCGATTCATCCAGAGACAGAAACAAACCTTTCAAGTTCAGAATTGGCAAACAGGAAGTCATCAAAGGTTTTGAAGAGGGTGCAGCCCAGGTAGGATGAGGATCCTTGTTAAGGGGGATTTGAGGTGCTGAGGGCCTGGGCTCAGCACTCGGCCCACCACCTTCACCCTATCACAGACCACTACTACTTTGACTCTACTGCTAGGGCATGGTGATGCCACTTAGTTTCAGTCCTGGCCTTGTGTCCCCACCCCTTTGATTACCAGCATGATTCCTTTGTGTCACTGGGGGCTCTCATCCCAAGCACATCTCCCTAGCTAGTTCTAAGCAAGCCTGTGAGCTACCAGCTGTTCGGGACTGAGGCAGCAGAAGAGTTGGGGTGGGGTAGGCCAAAGTGTATCTTTTTTAAAACTTAAAAAACAGCAACAACAACTTCAGACTTGAAAAAAACATTGCAGACCTAGTAGTGTTCCCATATACTCTTTCTCCAGCTTCCCCAAATGTGAATGTTTTACACAACCATAGTACAATGATCAAAACCAGGACATTAATATTGATACAATACTATTAACCAATCAATTCAAATCTTTGAATTGGTTATTCAAAATTTTTAAATGGATTGTTCAAATTTCACCAATTGTCCCACTAATGCCAGACGGGTTCTTGAGGACTGCTGTGATGAGCCCTAGTTCAAACTCTTCTTCCTTGATCCATGAAGGCATATGATGGTCCTCGCTGTGGCCTCTAATCTCTAAACCTCTCTAATGAGCTGCTCTTGTTACCTACTTGAGTATATACATGTACGTGTGTTCTTTATACACTGTCCTTAGGCTTCTTTGGAAGGTGAGGAACAATTATGAACAAATAGAAGTCTTTGGGCCATACGCCAGTTGAATAACCAGCAAAATTTACTGGATGAATGAATTTGAGACAACTTTGTAGAAGTTACTCTCCCACAGTCAAGTCTCTGCTAGTCTAAGGCAGAATCTGCATTTGTTACAGCTTTTAGCATCATTTCAGTGTGCCACATATAAAATGTATCTCAGATCTTCAGAGTTATCATGAGGATGGTTTGGGAAAATGCCATAGTTATCTTACTTTTTTCTTTTAAATCAAGCTGGGTCCTCTTTCTCCTCTCCCCATCTGCCCCTATCCCTGCTAGATGAGCTTGGGGCAGAGGGCGAAGCTGACCTGCACCCCTGATGTGGCGTATGGAGCCACGGGCCACCCTGGTGTCATCCCTCCCAATGCCACCCTCATCTTTGACGTGGAGCTGCTCAACTTAGAGTGAAGGCAGGAACTCAAGGTGGCTGGAGACGGCTGCTGCTCACCCTCCTAGCCTGCTCTGCCACTGGGACGGCTCCTCCTGCTTGGGGCTCTTGATCAGTGTGCTAACCTCACTGCCCCACAGCATTATCCATTCTCTCAGCCCAAGGTTCTGTATGTGTTCCATCATTGTCCACGCACATCTTTGCTTGAGGAAACTTTGGTTGCAGATTGAAATGTTTCAGGTTGTGCATTTTGCGTGATGCATGTAGTAGCCATTCCTGATCACAGAACACAGATTTCTTGTTCGCACAATCTACACTGCCTTACCTTTACTTAAGCCAGACACACAAGGTGCTCAGACATGAAATGTACTTGGTGTACACAGAGGGACTTGAGCCAGTTACCTTTGCCGTCACTTTCTCTCTCGGAAATTCTGCTGACTTAAACAATGTCCTCTTTGGAAACGATATGTAAAATAAAGGCTCTATGCTTGACAAATTCCTGTCCCTCCTTATTGAAGGTAGGAAGTGCTTTAAGGACCACACAAACCCTTGGAAAAAACAGTGGAAAGGAGTAGCCAGGAGAGTGATAATACAATACAGGTTTCTCCTGCTTTCCTAAAGTAGAAAGTAGAATGTTCCTATGAAACCTTTCGTAAGCTGAAATGGTATAAAGTGAAGAAGCAATTACTTTAGGACACATCTTGCTAGGATGCACAAAGTAAATTCAGATAAAAGCACAGATGCTCACAGACAACACAGTTTAAAGCTATGACGGTTAATGCTGAGGTGTTAAGTGTAGTTCCAGGGGATGGAGGTTGGTGGTGGCAGTCTCACTGCTCCTGCTTCATGCTGCCTCTATAAAAGGCTCTGAACAGTATTTTCGCTTTTCACCTTTTTTCATAAAGGCAAAAATCCTCTCCAGATTTCTTCTGTGTAGCAAAAACAGGTACTCATGAAGGTCTTTCCTAAAAGTGAAGTGGTGTGAAGGGAACTTTCGAAAAACAGTAGACACCTGTAGCTCTGATGTACCCAATACATGCTGGACCTTGTTCTATTTTTAATTTCTTCTAATTTATTTCTAATTTTTAAATAAAATTACCACCAACCCTCTAAGCAGCCCTATAAGGTAGGTATTACTTGCCACTCATCTCACAATTCTGAATTTAACTGAATATTGTGTTCAAATCCCATAGCTTCGCAATCAAATGTGGCATGTGAGCACTTTTGGTGACTGATCATGAAATTTGGACTGAAGAGTAAGAGGGATGAATTCCCCTCTTAGAAAAGTACACTTTGTGCACCTAAACAAATGAAGGATTTGAGCCATACACTAACTCACTTTGGGAAGTTACTTCTGAAAAGAAATGTGTGCTTGCTTTCATCTAGATTTGCTCTAACTTTACATTGGGGAATTACTTCTGAGAAGAATCTATGATTCTGAACTTGTTTCTACATATACTGCTTATTTTCATCTACATTTACTGTAACTCACAGGAATTTTCAGTTGGGTTTTAAAATCAGCCCGTTTATTGATATGGGTTATGTGTATGTCAGAGGAGCCTGCGGCAGTGTGGCTAAGAGATTTTTCTTTTAGTTGGCACGAGTGAGAAAAGCTCTTGGGCATTGTCAGGGTTGTTCTATCAGTGATGACTTGGAATTGTTTCAAGAATAAGAAGGAAGGGACTGGTAATAGGTACTATTAGGTTCCTTCATAGACTCATTGATAGCATGTCACATGATGTCATATATACAATATGGGGCCCCATTATCTTGGCTAGTTTATCTATCTCTTTTGTCTCCAAGAGTCCTGGCTGTTTCCCTGCTGAGAACTGAGTTAATGAAGAGGCAGTGCTGTAAGACGGAGAAAGTCAAATGAGAAAGGGGCTGCTGTGCTTTTAATCATCAGTCCCTGTGCTCACCTCTATGGCAGGACCACAGGGTGCTATTATATTTATTCCTTTCTGGGGGGTTTCCTTCAGAGTATCTTGGTTCCTAGCTATCCTCAGTGATACAAAAGTCTTAATAATTTCTCAGAACTCAGCCTGTATAAAAGATAGTCACACACACAAAAAAAGACAAGTCACGTTTTCTGCTGTGATACCAATAGGATAACTAAAAATAGCACCAAGGACCATTTCAGGTGCTCATTATGGAGTCACAGAAAAGATCTCCGTCTAGAGTTTACAGCTAAGGTGATAATAAGAGATACTAAGAAGAGGGGGAAAAAAGTAAATACCTACCAGCTAGCACCTGAAGAGGCTATAATGCTAGGGTTTGCAGGCCCTGCTTTACTGACATTCTTAAAAGGTAACGCAGAAAATCATGATGCAGTATGACAAGATTTTGGGCATTGTCCTATGGGAGCCACTGAAAGTTGTTAAGCAAGAGAGTGATAATGAGATATATGTCCTATCACTCGTTTTCAAACTTTGGTCAATGAATTCTCCATTCATACAAAACCCTTCTTAGAAACTTGCAATTTAACCTAGATGAATGTAAAGCAGTTCTGGCACACATGTGTATGCACATACATACACATGGCCACAATCATTCCCTGTTCTCTTAAAAGCAGTTTGGGAAACTGACCCTTTAATGCCTGGTGCAGAGGACCAGTTGTAACTGTGTCTTCAGCATTAGTACCCACAGACGTGGCACAGAGGAAAGGCTCAGTATTTGTCCACTGCTTTAAAGTTCTTGTAACCTAACTGGGACAGGCTACAACATTTCTGAACAACTAGAGGGCATTTTTTAAAGTCTTAACTTTAGGTCATGAAATTCACCTAAAAGATATGTATTTATTAATCCAAATGATGGGTCAGCTGTAACTGCCAATAGAAGGAATTGCCCCTTGTTATTAATTTGAAACAACTATACTAGAAGCAAGTCAGTCTGCCACTTCAGACAAATCACACTATAAATAAGTCTAATTTGTTTTCCCTTACAAAAAGGTCTTTTAAAAAATTCTTTCTACATTTGTAAATACCTAAAAGTACACTGTGCATTACAAAAACTAATAAGGAACTCATAAAAGCAGTCACAAGAAAATTACAGCTGTGGCTTTGTCATATGCCTGCTCTTCTTAGAAATGACTCCTTCTGCTCTTTTTACAGTGCTTTCAAAAAGCACTCAGACATAACTAATAAATAAGACAATTATTTCTTCATTTTCAATAGTAGGCTTTGTGAAGACAGTACAAAAAGTATAAAATAGCCCATTTTCTTGAAGTAATGATAGATTTCAAAGCTAAATTTAAAAGTAGAATAGGCTTTGTCCATTTAAATGATTCACTGCTTGTACCTTTCAAATTGATTTTGGGTTATAGTTATATACAAAACAATTAGTCCGTGTTTTTCCATTTGGCCCATGCCTAAACCATAAAAAGAAAATTACAGCTATCTCCTCCAAGCTGCCGAGCTATGACAAACGTGGTAATAACCACACTATTTCCACGCCATGGGAGTCTGTGATTATAAGAATAAGCATTAAGTAATTTATTTATAGCAAAGATATACTATGAGCTAAGGTCCAAAATATACACAGACATTTATTAATTAAAGGGAAAGACTACATAAATACATCTTAGACATGCAGCAACCAATACCACGCCCCAAGCAGCTAGCTGTCACATTTCTAACAGTGGTATCATCTGAATGACCATTTCTAGAATACACCTCTAACGACAAGGGTACCCATACTGACAAACGTGCTTTGTTAACTGTAAAGCAAGTACTATTCAAATGTACTCACGTGGCTAATAACAAGTTGATGTTGAAAAGCAACTTTTATGTAAGCATTTTATTCATTTATCCAACATGATAAACTTTGGTTTCCTTGTCTGCAAAATGGAGATACTTACCTTTACTGAGTTGTTACAGAGATTTTATTATTAATAGACATTTATAAATAATAATATTCTAACAAGTTCCTCTGATGGCTAAGCACTGGACTGGACACTGGAGACACTAAGAATATCAAAAGGTTCCCCCCATCCTTAAGAAGCTCAGCCTCTAGGACCACCTTCCAACCAACAATTCTTGATATGGTTCAACTGCTGTTTTATTATTTTTTTCTCCTATAATATAGGAGGGGAAATTTCAAGAGAAAACACTGACATGTTTTACAAAAAGCTACAAGTTTATTAACATAATATATCCTAACATATACCAAAGTTTCAAGCAAGTCATTTTGAATCTAAAGTAAGAAATCACAATATTCAGTATTAATTAAAAACAAAAAAAGGGTGTTAGTGGTCATTTGTGGATTTTAGTCCAAAATAAAAATGTAGAAAGAAAACGTTTACTTTGGTGGATCTGTGTTGATGCCATATTTCTCCTTGAGAAGTTTCAACTGTTCTTCCTTCTTCTTTGTGTCCATCTTCTGAAATGCCTAAAAATGTAGTAGGCACCAAAGATAACCAGTTACCAATCTACAGTCAAATGCATTTCACCAATAGCACTAGCTAGGAAGGAACTCAGTGCTCCTCTCTCCTAATGGTACAGTTCTCCACAACTCTTACAGGGTCTCCCCACACAATGAGAACCGTGGGTATACTTACCCTGTTGGCATTATAGTACAAAACCACGAGGTATCTGTTACAAACATTGAATCCTGACAGGTGATCACACGCATTCTTGGCATCGAAGATGTCTTCATAGACTACGTAAGCTGTTCCTCTAGTTTCCGGTGTGTTCCCCCTACAGAGTTGAATTGGACTTAATTAAAATACACATTTACCTGAAAAGCATCAGAAGAAATAGATATTATGGACAGGTATGCTAGATAAGCCTGTAATTTCTTGAATTAGGTAATTTTTGTTTTTAAGTCAAAAACCTCAGGCTAAACTTATTGTTATATCAAGAATACTGACATACCTACTAAAGCAACAGCAGCAAATAACTAGCTTGAAACTCTCAGAGTCTTCATGCTCACTGTTTTAGTCTTTCCTACTTCTCACAGTCAATTTTCAGTCTTACACTGGAAAGTGCAGTACTTAGGAGTGATGGCTCTTATTAGTCAGCAATATCTAGGATGGGGTTTTTCTTCCTGTGCATTCATGCAACAGAACAAATGCTCCAGTTATTTGCCACACTAGTCCCTTGTTTCTAAAGATTTTGATTTTCTCCCTCACTCTAATTTTAGTTCCAATTCTTAAAGACAAGACCATCCCCCTCAACGTAGGAAACTGATGTTTCTGGGTAACATTTTACTAAAGTTTATCAGATCCATAAAAATAAAACTGATTTTGTGTCTGCAGAGGAAGGTAGGGTAGGAGAAAAGCCTCTACCAAGAAGACAGCAAAATTACAAGTGATACACAGGAAAATAGCCAACCACCACCCTTTATGGCCAGGAAGGGATGTCCTCCAGTGCAAAGAGAGAGTTAATGTAGTTTCCTCCACTTAGAAGATTCTTTGCCTTTTTAAAACACAATACAGTCAACTCCCAACTTTCACACATTCATTTTTAGTATCTGCACTTTCATAAGTTACACAACCCTATGTAGCTAAGGGAAAGGGTTAGGTTTCTGTAGAGACTTGGGCTGAAGTGTGCTTGTAGATGGGGTTACCGGTGAGCCAGAGCAGAATGCTGGAAGGTGGCTAGAAGTGGCAGTTGGATCTCGCTCAGAGATACGGGGCTGCTTCTTGCCATCTCCTGTCCTTACCTCACCAGCTCCCGTTAGGGGAGGTGTGAGGAGCAACAAACTGCAGGTGACAGATGGCCATGTGCCTGTGAGTAGGGACAGCAGGCAGAGGTCCCATTCAGCTTATGCTCCAATGAGCTACAGACGGACCCCTTGCTTCCATCTGTGATCCAGCTACCCAGTGCAACTGTGGAATGTGGTTTATTAACTGCCATAGTCCCTGCATAGGGTCAAGGAAAGGCAGGGGGCTCACTGGAAGGGGAGGCATCTGCCTAGATTTGACCTGGATAAGACTACAGTCTTGGGCCCTGGTCAGAGTTTGTGCTTCCTGTAAAAGGGGATGGGACAGGAATGCAGTGCTGGGGTGGCTGGAGGGTGCCAGTGTCACTGAAAGCTCTGTCAGGCTCCATGACTTGATGAAGGACTTTACAATATTCTTTACTCTCTGCAAATAGTCTAACAACTTTTGGACTTTTGACTTTTTAACTATTTTCAAGCATGCTTAAGGTATGAAAATTGGGACTACCCAAAGGAAAAAACATTGTCACAAAGATTTTCCAAAAAAATTCTACCTAGTTTTTCCTTCAGAAGAAAAGCATAAAAAACTTAACATTTTAAGTTCCTAAAGGGCAAACAGGGTCTTATCTTGTATTTTATTCCCACAGTGCTATACATTCAGCAAGTGCTAATAAGCATTTGAAGGGTGGAAATCTGCTTTCTCCTATCAATCATCTCACATACCTTTTCTTCAGGAAGCTAACAAAACAAAACAAAAGCATCTCCCTTCCTCTTACAACTTCTTAGGAAGTAGAACAGGGACAGATGCTAACCTCATTTTAAAGACTTTCCATCTCAAGTGCCTCAGCCCCTAATTATCAACCAGTATCATGAGATCTACATTGTAATTTTAATTTCAAATAACATGTACTTGGTACCTACTGTGTGTTAGGCACTGAGTCAACATTATTTTCTTGACTGGTAGTAAAAGCTTTTAGTAACAAGAAAACTTAATCATGTAACAAAATTTCTAAGCTTCAGCTGTGTGTCGGCTGTATCACCTGCCCTACCTCACTCATGGTTTTAATAATTAAAATACGTAACAAGTATGACAGGGCTTTAAAAAGTTCAAAGCACTGAGTGTCTCCTACATGCCAGGTAAGGTAACCAATCATCTGGGTTTGCCCAAGACTGTCCAGGTTTTGGCACTGAACAGCCGTGTCCCAGAAAACACCATAGCCCTGGGCAAACTGGGAAGGCTGCTCACCCTAGTGCTGGGTGCCAAGTATGCCACAGAGCATGACCGCAGCTACAGAACAGAAAAACATCTGTTTCTCAATCTATAACTTAAACACTCAGACCCAAGTTCCTGCACACCAAACTTTTATGAATTTATTCAACAAATATATATAGTGCTCTTTGTATCTGACAGCGGAAATCCAATCGTGAAAAAGATGATCATCATCCTTCCCTTCAAGGAGCTTTATTCAAGCAGGAGAAAGACATTATATAAGTAAATACAAAATAACTATAGTTCATGAGAAATATAAAGGAAGTAGAGAGCTGGGCAGAGACTAACAGGAGGCCAGGGGGCTGGCTACTTTAGCTAGAACAGTCTAGGAAAACCTCTGGCACTGAAGCTCAAACCTGAAGAATGAGGAGCAAGATATTAGATGAGCTGGGTGAAAACCATCCCAGATGGAGGGACTAGAAGTACAAAGACCCTAAGCTACTCTGCACATTTCACCTTGGTTTTCTGAAACATTCTCTAACTCCACTGATACAAGCATCTCTTAATTATGTACTACTAATACATTTTGTAATATTGTCATAAATTAATTGCAACCCACATCATCAATTTCTATATTATTCATTTACTTACATGCACCGGGTACTTAACATGTATCAGGCACAGCAAGAGCTGTCAACATAAAGTGAGAAGAATATATGGTATCTGTCCTAGAGGAGATCATAGGCTGGCAGGAGAGACAAGTAAGCACACAGACAAAACCATGTGTTAACTAGAAGAGATGCTATGGGAGCACAGAAAAGGGTGGCTAATATACACTGGGAAGGAAATACTTGATGACAAAGTGCTTTCACAGGCATCATCTAATTTGATCCTTACTGAAATTCTTTTAGAAAGATTCTATTTCATAGGTAACTGAAGCTCAGGAGGACTAAATATATTTTGCCCAGGTTCACATAACTAGCAAGTGCCCAGTTAGTAAATGAACCTAGGTCTTATCAAGCAACCTAGTAAATTTATCATGCTGCCCCCGTGTTAAAAGCTGAAAGGCACTGTCCATTCAGATTAATATTACATGTGAGGAGAAAGCAGGGCCACTTGTCTAGGGTCACATGGCTAGTAACAGGGCCTGAAGTAGAATCTTGTCTCCTGACCCCAAGTCAGGGGATCTTCTGTATACCATTCTTGGATGTCTACAACAGGCATTCTTAACCTAGAGTCCATGTATACACTGAAATCACATGCAAAAATGTGTTTTCTGTAGAAAGGGTCCAAAGCTTTTTATCAAATATGAAAAGAGACTTCCTAAAAACAGCTGGTCTGTAATACTTTATTTTCATCCCCGTTTGAGTACCAATGATGACATATTTCTAGCTCGTGGTTTACTTTTCCGAGGGATAGTAATCATTGAAAAGGAGAGTCCTCAAATCTCACAGAGTTCTTCTAAAAGCCAAGAAGGTGCTCTCTAGTCATAAAAGAAAATTTATTACGAAAAAGATATTCCAACTAAAAATCAAGATCTTAGACATCCTTCTAGATGGACTGTTAGGTAATTGGTTCATTTATACTAGTTAAAGTGACAGCGGCTGTGGAACTGTGTAGACATTTCAATTTAGCGTCAGAAGATTTTAATCACTAAATAGCTGCGTGAAGCTAGACAGGTACTTTTACTCTCTGGGCCTTTGTAGTCTCACCTGTGAAGCACACTATCACATCCACACAGGGCTGTAATGTTGGTGATGCAAATAAAAGCACCTATGACAAGTGACATGTAGTAGGTATTCAATAAATATCATTTGAAGATATGAACTCTCAACTTTAGATTAAATTAAAAATTGAATTTGTGTAATTATTTTACTCTGTATTTTAAAATCTTCAACAAAAAGCTGTAGTTGAAGAAAATTATTTTTACTTTTATCTGGCTTTACACAGCTTATTTTGAAATTCTGGAGTCAATAAAGGAGACAGTAAAGACTACTGAGAAAATTAGAGTTAATGAATATGAAAACCACAGTACAGTACTTCTTTACAAATAGTAGGTATGTATAAATGTTAGTTCTTTCTTTTCCCATTCATTCCTCTCAAACCATTCATTACTACTTCATGCTCTCTATAATTTCACAACTGCTATTCTTGGCTCTCACTGAGATGGATCATGAGGGTCTCCGTAGGTACTTTTCCTTTACAGAAAAACTGCATCTCCCCGATTTCAGTCTATTAGTTTCTGGGTTCTCAGGCCTGCTGTCAGCTATAATTCTGAGAGTACAGATTTACACATTTTCTTTAAATGACATTTCAAAAGTCTCAGTAAGACTCACACTCTGATTTGACGAATAGGTCCGTATTTCCCAAATATATCATACATTTCTTCAGCTGTGATTTTGTAGGGCAAATTTCTTATATATAAAATCCGATTTACTTCAGGTGGAAGTCGAATCTAAAATGAGAAATAATGTATTGTCATTACAATCAGTAGCAAGAATGCTACCATTAAAAAAATTCTCATAAAATAACAAATTCAAATTAAAAAATGACATTTAATTTTAAAAAGCCAAGAATAAGAATTACAATGTTATTACTGAAAATGGCATGCTCTCCAGAAAAGCAATTAGGCACTGGTTTTAGGTAAGACTGTTAGTTGGATCTAATAAGGGACTATTACAAAACCCTGGCTTTCAGTCACTACAGTTAAACACGGATCTCCAACCTCATTTAAAAGTCCTCAATGCCACAGACATGTGTGGGAAAGAACAAGGGAACTGTTCCTGTTTGTTAGACAGTAAGACTCCCACTGATGACCCTTCTCTCGTTTTCTAAGGAACTTGTTATATCAATGATCTCATCTCTTTGTATTTACAGCCTTTCCCTCAGCATTAGCTTCTTTTATTCCTCAGGTGAGCAGTTGCTTATGTACTGCCAATTGTTACACAACTCAAAACAGTTATTTGGATCCCTCTTCATTCATTCAACGAACATACTGAGCACCTTTGTTATATATACACCAGGCGAGGTATAAGGATTACAGAGTGAAGGGAAAAAGACAAGGTTTTTTTGCCTTCCCTGAATTTATCAGCTCTCTACTTACTATCCTATTTTGTTCTTTTTTTTTCTCTTTTCTTTCAGTCAAGCATCTGAAAAAAGGAAGTTTATACTCACTGCCTCATGTCCTTTACTTCATGACACTCATCAACCTACCGCACTAGCTTCAACCCCAACACTCTGATGAAAACTGCTTTTATGCACTAAGACCTTTCACTTGCAGTGTTCTATTCTCATCATACTTCTCTGTGGCTTCTGACACTGGTGACTATTACCTTCTTGAGTATTCTTGACAAGCTATTTCCTTGGCTTCCTCCTCTCTGGCTAGTTCTTCTCAGTCTTTGTCATTAAAATAGGCTCATCCGCAGAGTTTTACCTTTAGGCTTTTCCTGACTCTTTAACTCCTTAACTCTGCATTCTCTTTAATGTCTTAACCACATACGTTTTCCACACTAAGTCGATGACTCTCAAATATGTATCTCCCGTCGGGATTTCACTCCTGTGCTCCTTATTAACATACTGAATTACATACTAGATATTAATTTGCTCAATATTTATTAAACTAGCAACTATTTCAGACATAAACCTAAGTGTTGTATAAATGGAAGAATAAGATACTTAATACCCTGTCCTCAAACTAGTAGTGGTGACAAACGGTCAACAAATAAGTACAATAAAGTTTTAGATTTTAAGATTTAAGGTTAAATTCAAATAGACGATAAACACTGTAAGACAATCACAATATAATTCTTCAGTAAATCTGCTTTCTCATTCTGTGAGACACTGTATCACATTTTCTCTTCTTTTGCCAAACCTGTCACCACTCCCTCTAACATCCGGGTTGGGCTTTATCCTCTATTCCCTACCCAGTCCAGGAGATAACCTTCACTCTTGCTTATTGGAGAAAATAGACACAACCAATGTTAAGTACCTTATATTCCATATACATTCATCCATACCCACCCACTTTCTTTCTCATTACTCTATCAACCCCTCACCTACTCCAAATGACTCCTGAACTTAACCCATCTTTCTCCTACATCATCAGTTTCTCCCCTCTACTGAATCATTCTCGTTGACATACAAATACATCTTATACATCTTAAGCAATAAAACACTTAACTACCTCCAATTTCTCTTCTCCCTATTTACACAAAAACTAGTGGAAAGAGCCGTCTCCATTTTCTCAACTTCTACCTTCTTTTCGTCCCACCGCAATCAAGTTTTCATCCACTGAAATGATTCTCATCAAAGTTAACAAAAGTATTCATCTTACCATATTCAATTATATCTTCACCTTAGTATACCTCTCAGCATCTTAGCGTTGACTACTCTTTCTCCAGAGACAATTTTTCTTAGGTTTCCATACATCCCAGTCTCTAAGTATTACAATGTAAGCAGTAGCGTTTTTTTTTTTTACTCATTGCTGTATCTCCAATATCTAGACTAGTATCTGGTACATAGTAGGCGTTCAATAAATATGATCGATTAACTGTATCCTATCTCTCAAGGCTGGTACATACTAGGTACTCAAAAATACCGCTGAATTGAAACATTTAAGGATCCAAAGATCTCCATGATCTGGGGAGATTTCCAGGCTCCGGTTGCCTGTTAACAACATTAAGTAAGCTATTTACTGTGGACTCATGTGTGCTACTGACGTTTAGGCCAAGCAGAAGATCCTGACGCCAGGTCCTAGATGCAGGTGAAGCAACAAAGGCTGTAACACTATTACTGACACTAGGATAGCCGACTGAAGTCTCAAAAGGGGCAGGGGTGGAAGTGTGGCTCAAGGAGCATATCCCTAGAGACGGGGCCAGGATGAAATGCCCTTTGATAGGCCAGTAACGTCTTGGCTTCCCGCCTGGGGACAGAGGAGGGCCCAGAATGCTCTGATCACGCAGCGAAGCGCTCCCCCGCCTAGGCAGAAGTCCCCGACACTCACGTTAGCCCTCTTGGCCGCTTGCATCGCCATCTTGGCGGGCTTATGAGGTTATCGCAGCAAACACTGGAGTTCTTCCGCACCCCTCCGGAGCTCGCTCAGCTTCGAGCGCAACACCACGTCAGATGCAGGACAGCGACATCCAGACCCCGCCGGAAGCTCTTCTAAGACGCCGGAAAATCACCGTCCCATGCCGAGACGTGCTGACGTAGTCTCCCCTTTCGAAAAGACTCCGGGGCAAAACGGGTTTAAGCCAGTTACGAGGCCGGAAGGTTGAAAGGCGAGGTTCAAAGACGCTTCCGGGCTCTGGACAGGAAGGGGCGGGTTCTGAGCTCAGGAAGGGGGAGGTGTTCCGGTCGTGGCGGCCCTGATCAGCTGAAGCTGGCCGGAAGAGGCGGGGCCTGAGGAGGCGTCCGAGCTGGGTCTGCAACCCGGTGAGTTGCGGGAGTTGGCGGGGCTAGAGCTGGGCCAGGGGCTGCAGGGCGCGCGTGGGTAAGTCTGGGCCTCTGAGGGTGAGCAAAGCCGAGCCTGCTGGCTTCTGGCTGGTTGTCATGGCAGACGCTGTACCCGTAGCCCGACCCCCTGGTGCTGCGAGCGGGAAAGGCTGAGCATCCCCTGACCGGGCCTCTTCTGTAATCCCCGCGGCCGGCGGCGGGCTCCCACCCCACCCCCGCCCCGGCAGCTCTAGTCCACGCGCCACACTGTAAGTCCACTCTCTTTATTTCCATAGACCGGTTTTACACTGGTCATTTGAGAAAGCTGGGGGAGGACCAGGGGATTGATTAAAGGCGGGCCTGGAGTAGCACCGGGCTGCCTGACTGCCTACAGTGGAGTTTCTCCAAATTTGCTCCTGGAAGTCCTGAGGTAGTTGTGTCCTGTACTGCTCACTCCTGCTTCACTGGGGCATCTCCAGGACGATTTTGCCCACGTTCTTGTTAGTCTCCATGTACTCATGGGCCTCTTGAATTTTATTCATGAGGTAGATTCTGTCCAGAACCGGCAGTAGACGCTGAGGGCCCTTCGTGGAGAAGTGGGGCAGAATTTGTTCTGTGAAAGCCTTCACCAGCATTTGCTTGTACTAAAATAAGGAAAACGAGACCATCAGCCTGGACGGAGGTCTTACTTTACTACTTCCCATCCTGCTTAGCTTTTCTGCTCTCTCTGAAACGTGTATATATCTGAAAAGACACACAGGGGTACATAGCCCCTTCATTACCAGCATGTACATGCATGCCCCCAAATGTGTAAACTCTGTTCTGTACCAGATAAAGACTGAAGCCTGGAGTAAAATATTAGTGTCACTGACAGCTGAAGGACTGTTTTCAAATTAAGGCTTCAAGCAGGGGGCAGCCACAGACAGGACTCACATAGCTCAATTCAAAAAGGATACTTAAGCTCTGCTATCCCCTACCAGGTGTGAAATCCTGTACTGAGAAACCTTCCCAATGCTGGCTGGCACCTGCTAGAAAGCCACACAGAAAAGATTTCAGGAACATATAGTCTGCTAAAGATAGAGGCTTACTAACCTTACTTACCTAAGAGGCTTTCTTAGCACACGGGGAAGAGTTCTGTCTTTGAAACTTTTAGAACTATTAGAAGTATTTCCTAATATGGTCAATGCTTAATGTATTAAGTATTAGCTAACCTTTTTGCAAGATATTGAGGCCTTTATCAATTAGTTCTGTGAAATGAGGTTACCTGTTTATCCACAGCAGGGCAGGTTTCTACACAGGCTCTCTAATTCAAGATGTGACAACATTTTACTTTTTCAGGATTATGTGGAGTCACACTTTTCTGGATAATAATTAAATCACATATTTTCACTCATCGCTCACCTTTTGGTCCCTTGATCTTAGCAGACTGGTGATCAAACTTCCTCGTTTAAAAAGTAGCTTTGAAAACAGAGGCCCACTGATATCAGCTCCTCCCATCAGACCATAGAGAATCCAGCGACCGTCAAGAGCCAGGCAGTTGACATTTTTCTCCCAGTAGGATCCACCTATGCAGTCTAGAATAAGGTTGACTCCAGCACCTTCCACATGAAACAGATTTTGTGATGCTAGTCAGACACAGAAACCTTGGTGCAAACTAAGAATTCCATCGTATTTTTGCGGATATATGCATATAAATAAATACAAGTGCAAGCAGTAAATCTGTAGGTGGAACTTGAAACATGGTTACAAATGGGGTTAGGTAGCTGAACTGTGTCATACATGTGTGATACATTTCATCTTTTGTGATCCTTGCCACAGCAAGAGGGAAATGGGGCAACACCATGATGTGATATTTCCCCTGACCTCCATGTAAGTAGAGAACTCACTGTCACTCAGGAGAACAGGGGAGATCCACCGCAGGCTACAGGGCAGGCTACTTCATATCTAAGTTATGAAGTATCTGCACTAGGTTGTCTAAACATGGCTTTCCTAGCTTTTTCATCTCTCCTTTTCAACTCGTGGAAAAAATGAGAAGGGATGAGCCAAAAATTGTTAACAGATTTGGCTTTGGAATACAGAGATATGCACGCCTACTCACCCATTTAGGGAACTACCTACCCAAGGCTCCTATGACCAGCTCCAAACTAGTCTCTGCCTCACACCCCTTGTTAATTCACTGCAGAGTGGCTGGTTGGGAAGAGGTCCTCAATGATTCCAGGCCAACACTGTGATTGTCCACTTTCTAAAACATGTATGAATCGTATCACTTACAAGAATGCACAGGGAAGCCATCTTAGTCCTAAATACTGTTTGTCTATCTTCAGTGGTCAAACACCAGAGGACTGGAATTTGGCCTGGGCAGCTGTTGTGCTTTTAGCAGAGGGAAGACGGACCCAGAGGCAACTTTGCGGCTAGTGAGGGTTTTATTGAATCAACTCTGAAACTCCTATTGAACTGCATAAGCTTTGTTTACCTTTGGTGAATTTCAGTGCTGCTTCAGAAAAATCCTCTTCTTTGTAATTGAATCCAGCAACTGCTCCGAGCTTTTCTGCCATTTGAAGCTTGTGCTGGGAGCCAGCTGTGACCAGAGGAATAGCTCCTGCCATCCGGGCAAGTTGGATGGCAGCTGTGCCCACACCACTTAATCCTGCATGGATTAGCACAGAGTCTCCAGCCTGAACATTTCCTATGACAGAAAGTACAGGAAGCATTCGCTTGACTTTGCAACTGCTACACATTCTCCACACAGGTTTGTTCTACTATGATCACCTGGCCCTCGGACCACCAAATGTCAAATCTCTTGCTGTCTTATGAGAACATACTGACAGTTCTTTTCATCTTATTGCCTCTGGTCCAAGTGGGAAACAACTTTTTGAAACAGAGTTATTAGCAGCCACATCCATAATCTGTTTTACCTTTGAAATAATATCAAACATATCTCCAATCTATGCCTGAATGAGTAAGAATAACCATTGCTCCCACTGTTACCACATGAAGCCAGCCCCTCTTCACTCTGAAATGGGCCTCCAACTGATCTCACAAATCCAGGCACAGCACAGGCTTGTCCTGAAATGGAGCTTCCATTATGTCACTTTCTCCTCAAAATGTAAAGTGGTTCTTGATTGGCTTTTGTGTCAAGTCCAGATAGCCTGCAAGATAGCCTGCCATTCAAGGCCACCACAATCTAGTCCCAGCCTTATCTTTCACAAATTATAACTGTCATCCTTCACTTCTTTGTGAAGCAGCTAATCTCATTTTGACACTCTTAGGCCACCTTGGCTTGCCTTCTGTCCATCTCTACCACCCTTCAAGGCCTTCTCTTCCAGAAAGTCTTCTCTGACTACCTTTGCCCACACCAACTTTTCCCATCTTGAGGTTCTGTTGCGTTAGAGACAGGGCCACCTTTCAGAACTCTGGTTGTCTATTCCCAGTTACACTTGAGTTCCCTAAAGGCAGGGACCCTCACATGAACTCTTGGTTGGCCTCAGTGGGATTGAGGAGGAATTAAAGAGTTGATTAAGTGGCTCCTTCTACTGCACTAGGGCACGCAGAGAGAAGCTCAGCATGACTTTGAGAATCTGAAACTACTGCTGGGCTTATAGTGTGAAGATGCTCACAGGCTTTTTATCTAGTGCTTTCCAGGTCTTCTTTCTGCCAATCATGATTTCCAGCCTCAACATCAAGCCATTGCTACATAGTATGAGGGCCTCATGCTACTGGAGTTACAATAGGGTGAGGTGCTGGGATTGGGTGTGGCTCAGTGGCCAGCTAAAGCTGCCCTGCAGGACTGCTGGGTTTTGAGGTGGCTGAGTCATAAAGAAATTGGACTATGCTGTATGGAGTGAGCATGGGGTGGGGGTGGGGGGGTCCTTACCCAAGAGATGTAATAGCTGGAAGGCAGTGAGCCAGGCCTCTGGGATGGCTGCAGCCTGGAGCATAGTCAGTCCTGCAGGGATGGGCATGAGGAGCCCTTCAGGGACAGTGACATACTGAGCCTGGCCCCCGCCAGGCAGCAGAACCATGGCTGGGTCCCCGATCTTCCAGGGTCCCTGGCAGCCAGGCCCCAGCTCTGCCACGTGTCCAGATGCCTCAAGTCCCAAAATGTTGCTGGCTCCTGGGGGCGGGGGATACTGGCCTTCTCTCTGCAGAGAGGATGCATTAAGCAGTGAGCATGATCAGAAATCTGTGTCACCATCCCTGGCTCTCTTCCCAGAGCCCTTTGTTTCAAGACAAAATTCAGGATAAAGGTAGGTTTTTTTAAGTCAAGAAAAAAGAGATGAGGTAATTTGTTTCATGCAAATAAGAGACTGTAGGTCACATAATCAGTGGATGTCTGACTGGTAGAGTCCTTAGCTATTTCTCTCATCTAAACCCCTTGTTTTACAAATGAATAAATGGAGGTCTAGGCTGGGAAATGCCTTGTCCAAGGTGGCAAAGCAAATTAGTAGCAGGAACAAAACCATGTACTTCTTAATGATAATTATCATACATCAAATGCTAGGCGCTGTACTCACTCATCACAATCTTCAGAAGCCTCCAACCAGTGGCTTGAGACCAGAGGGACTCAACTAGGAGTGTGCATCAAAACCATTTGAGGAGCTTTTTCAAAGTACACATCCCTGGGTCCCGGTCCTGTTTATTTTGAATAAGTGCCCCTCTGTGATTCTGGTGTACCTGTCTCAATTACTTCAAAAAATGCAGCTGGCCCAGTTTAGTGCTTCAAATAGAAGCTGGAAGAAAATTCTTAGGAATACTGCCCCCCTGCCAGCTCCAGGACTCTCAGAGTAGAAAGAATACAGATTTTGGAAGCTTAAGACAAAGACTCAGTTTGAATCACGGCTCCCCTGGTTCCTAGTGTTGGACTCATTACTGAACTTCTGGGACCC